TTAGCGATGCAAATTCGGCACCTCCATGCACCCCAGAACCCTACATGAAAAACTGGGACAAATCCTTCTTACCAAAATTTCTTCTACATACTCACCTCTGCCTCGTCATTCTGAAGTACAGAAAGAAGGCTTGCCCGTTGTCCAAACGCATGTCGCGAACTAAATGATGGTATTCACCGAAAGTTTCGCGGGAGCGCAGGAGTGATCGAACCCACTCGCGGCCGGGGTGGCGCCGTCGCTGGAGCAAGATCATGGCTGTGGTAGCCCGCACAACCAGGGGCCAGTTCGTCTCACTGCCGGCCTGCGCAATGTAGCCCCGCACGCAGTCCAGGAAGAGATTCCTGAGGTTTTCAGTTTGTTGCAACCTCGACGATCCGGGGGGACACGGAAAAGTCGCGACGCTACCGCTGGACGCCGCCATGTTCGTTGTGATCATAGTTGCTTGACTTCATTCGCTCTGCAAGTCGCGGTTTCGATTGGTGCGCCGCAAGAGCCGATAGCAAGCTCCTATTGGTTCTTGACTGCGGCGGACGGCGCTTCGACGCAACTGTGTGTACAAGCTCTCCGCAAGCGCACTCCGCATCGGTCCGCAGTCGCGCTTCCGTAGCCGAACGCACCGCAGTCAAACGCAAGTGTCTGAACTGGCCTTAGTCAACCGCAGTCAAGAGCCAATAAGAACGCGCTATCGTCGCTAGTGGCTCACCAATAGTAAGCGAAATCCAAGGCAACATGGCGGCGCACAGTGACAGCGTCGAAGTGTTCGATCTTGGGGCAATCTCGCCGGCTTCCCCGACGTTTTGTCAAGCTTGAACCATCGCAGCCTTGGAAAATACAGTCCCCACCGCTCCCCAAAACGAAAAAGCAAGCACTGTGACCGGCGAACCGGATACGTCTCGCCGAGTCGGCCGGGTGGGCGAGCGAACACGTCACCCCCTCTCCTCTTTCGGCATCTGATTGGTCGAACGCACCTGAACGCACCGCAACGCTTCGGAAAGTTGAGCGAGTCTCTACTCGCTTGCGTCGCGCTACCGAGCGTTGCGAAAAGGCGCCCGTCGCTCCGGAAGCGACCGCGCCTGGCCGCAAGGACTCCGCAACGCACTCAAACGCGTTCAAACGCGAATCTGCGTATGGCCCTTCACAACGGCGAATTGATGTCACGTAACGGCGTCGTCCTCAAAGCGACGTCACAACCGAGTTGCAACGGCGGCTGGATGTCGCGAAACGGCCTCGTCCTCGACGCGACGGGATGTCATGACGGTCTTACGGCAGTATCTTGGCGTCGCGTAACGTTGTACTCGAGGATGACGTCGTGGCGTCGTCGTAACGTCACGTCGACGTGACGTGGCGTTTTGACGTTACCTCTGATGTCAAAATGATAAAAAATGCAATATAGCCTCTAAAGGGTTATATTGCCCATATGACCTTGACATGTGTCGTCGCTCACTTCAATCGCAACGAAGGTGGCGCTGCTATCGAAGTGGCTTGGTTCCACCTGATCGCTTTTCACATTCTGAGGTGCAACTGAAAGCATGAGTGGAGCCTGTGGCTCGCCAAACTCAGTTGTTTCTAGTTCACTCTACGGGGTGTCCCAAGGACCGGCCAGGCTTTTTAAATCGACCGCAAAATTCGGTTTCTTAACCTGTCGCGCTACGACTTTGTGCAGCGTTGCCCAGAGATGGTGCTTTTTTGTTTTTGTAAAATTTGTAAAGAGCGAACTTGAGAAAAAAGTAGAAAGAGAAAAAGGCTTAGCTCACACGGAAATGCAGCGAAGCCACCGGTCTACAAACAGTACGGCGCCGTTTCGCACGGGATACTAGAGATGGCGCAAGCGGTCGCGACGCCAACTGCCGCCAACGAACGAGCATACAGCGCCGAGATCCGGCGTCTTTAGCAGACGATCTTTTCGACTCAAAAGCGTGCGCGTTCCGCAGGCGGCGACGGTCGCAAAACAAAAACAGGCGCGGTAACAACAAAGAACTGCAAAGCAGACGACCATAAGTAGCACGAAAAAAACAGTCACAATAACCCGATAAACCATTGTTTTAATCGATTATGTTCCATTCAATATGTTTTATTAGAAAGGATGATAAAATGATGCATTGGCAACTGATATCAGAAAAGCTCGCACCGCTTTTGAGTCAAAACGATCGTCTGCTAAAGACGCCGGCTCTCGGCGCTGTATGCTCGTTTGTTGGGGGCAGTTGGAGTCGCGACCGCTTGCGCCATCTCTTGTCTCCCGTTCGAAACGGCGCCGTATTGTTTGAAGACCGGTGGCTCCGCTGCGTTTCCATGGGAGCTAAGCCTTTTTCTCTCTTTACCCTTTCCTCAGGTAAATTCGCTGTTCGCAAATTTTACAAAAAAAAAAAAAAAGAAGAAAAAGAAATAAAAGCATTCTCTGTGGGCAACGCTGCACAAATTCGTAGCGCGATAGGTTAAGCAACCGAATTTTGCAGTCGATTTAAAGAGCCTAGCCACTCCCTGGGACACCCAGTAGATCGGTTCTCGAGTACGGATCGGTGCCACTTTTTCAGAACAGTCTCTATGGCAGTTTCCCAACTGAGTTGTTCTAGTAACATTGGTTCCGACCAAGTTTATTTGACGCAAGGTAAGTGTGCTTGTTTTAGTCAACTTAAACAAACTTTCAAACACAAAAAATGGCTTTATCATTTATATAATTATTTGTAATAAAGCGTGTTGATGTGCATTGTGCACTAAACTGAAGCTTGGCTTTGTTTCATTTTACGATGGCGGCGACCACCATTGTCCCATGTACCGTGCTCGACCTATTTGCTGTGCATTATTTGTCCTGCTGTTCAGCTCCAGCCATCCGCATCAGCACCCGCACAAGCATGCTGTCTAGATATTGTGTGCCCGCCGGAAAGAATATCCAGTCATCTTGGAAGCAAGGCCCCCTCTAGGGTTGCTCGGATCGTGGATCGTACGTCGTCGGCACCTACGAACTAAGTCAGAGAGCCTAACGTCGTTTGCTTGGTTCCTCCACGGTTCCGGCTACGGATCCCCCAGCCTTGGACTGAGCCCTAAGTTACCTAGCTGGTGAAAATCAATCTACGACGACGCGGCGTCTTTGGAATGCGATTACTACGATCAGTGGCTTTTAAAACCTCAGTAGCCCCACCTTCAATGGTGAGCCCTTCGATGCGAACGCTCTTACCTTCACAGTGGCCCGACTCTTCGAATGGTCATTCTACAGGCGGCACAGCAAGACGCAAGCCTCCTGCCTTGCTTCAACTCGCAGTGTGGTTCTCAAACAGGGCACTAGGTACCGAATAAGCTGCTGCACCGTTCATCACTCCACGAGACTCATCCCACGACAGTTCTAGTGGTATGTAAAACGGATTCAGGATTCGGTTTGTGGCAGTCACCTTGTTGATTGCTACAGCGGAGCACACTGCTTACAAAAAGGATCGCGCTAAGAATTGTAGAGGTGTGCTGGTCGTGGTAGCTTTCCCATTACCCTCTTGACGACTCCGTAACCTGAAGCTGGACCCTCCCACAAGCATGGCAAGGTGCTGCTATGCTGTGTGTGCTGCCCGGCTCCGTGAAAGCCGAGTCCTACGACTTGCTCAGCGAGCCATTAGTGCTCATTAATACTAGCATTTATTAAATGTGTGCATACTAGAAGTTTTCAAGTTGAGTCGCTCAGAGTGCAGTGTATGCCATGGAACTATTTCCTGTGGCCCAAGTGCTCGACAGTTCGACGAGACAGTGTGCTCAGTCCAGTTGTTCTCAACATGTTGATTAATCGTGATAATGCCTCCCTGCAATCGACTCCACTGCTGTTACGGACGACCTGATGCTGGTGCCCGCTTATCAGGTGACCACAGAAACCACGAGGGTTCGCAGAACAACATCGACAAGGTCTACTATAAACAACCATCTACGTGCGGAACACTGGGTTTTGTACTTAGTGTACCCAGAGGAACAGGCCATAACACACTTAGGTGGCTTTCACAGCCCTGGTCCTGCCACACCTAGAGTATCGCTGCTACATATGAGACTCCCATGAGGTTGATCTTGCAAGATTAGTCGAAAGTGTTCAGCAAAAGGCAACTTACGCTATTCTTCGGCAGCCAAACTCACTCCGGATCGCTCACTGCTCTGGCATTGATTAGAATTCTGGCCCTTCACTGGACGGCCAGTGCCTAGACAACGTTGTGCAACTGCAAGGTCACGAAACAGCACTGAAAGGAGTGGTTTGCAAAAATTATGCCAGTGCCGTTCAACCGTTTCCTGCCGTAGAGCAACAGCATTCTTTCTTGGAGTTGTCTTCACTGTTCACTTCACTACACTGTGCACTCACGCAGAGCGCCCCTAACAATCAACACAAGCTCAAAAACTTCGCTAGACAGGTAACTCGCCACCTTCATTTCCAGTAAGGTAGAGCATTGCCTATGTGCTTCACTCTGAATTATGGACTTTTACTTAAATCCTATTCCACGTTTCTCCCCACCCCTTTTTGTTTGTTCCTTTTGCTGGGTACTGTAGGATTCTTGGTACAGTCAGGCCTCTTTACTTTAAAGAATTGCTTTTAGCAGGATTAAACGATAAAATCACTTTTAACACTTTTAACCTCTATTATAGTACTCTTTGGCCACACCAGCTGTATACTATCTTATTCAACCTAACAAAAAACGGGTTTTATGCTCTTCTGACGAACACAAATTCTGTCAGGATTACGACGAAGTGTTTGTAAAATTACGGAAATTTTTGACAGTGTATATGGGATGAAATTGTTCCGATAAGTAATGCCCATAATGTGCAACTTTTTCATTCTGATTGCGAGGACGCGAGTAAAGCTCCTTCAAGTGTAGAATTTTGAAAACAGTGGATCCATATTTGCAGCATCCGTCTCATTTTAGTACTTGCTAGCTGATGCGTCACGTCTGTCTCTTACACGCTGCAGGACAACAAACTCAATTGCGAAGCACACGAGGGGTTCAAAAACTATGAGAAATGATGAAATATTATGAGGCAGAAACTTTTATACATTTCAGTCTTTATTTGTCAGAAGGTAAACATTGTTGAATACAAGTTCAATGCAATCATATGAAAGAAGAATATTTTTTTTTTCACGGGTGTGTTTTTGGCGGCGTCGTTGTCGTTTTGTCGCCGTTTACAGTGTAAAGTGAAGCAAATTTGTTGTTGAGAAAGCAAATTCTGCGTAAAATAATGCTGATGTCGGAAAGTGTGCAGGTCGTTCCTGGCTGTGTGAGCTCTAATACTTGAATAGACGACTGTCCCGCGCGGGCTCATCTCGACCGAATAGGAAAGATAAATGCATGGAGCCTGATGTTGGCCTCCGGAGGCCAACGTGGCCCGCCTCCCTGCCGCCGCGTCCACGAGGGTAACGGAGGACCAGGGCACATTTCAACAACTCCCGGCGGGTTCTACGGGATGAGGCTAGCGAAGTGGCTTATGCTGCAGCATGCGTTTAAGCTTGATATGCATGAAAAATAGAGTGTGCATTTTCAATGAAAAGAAGGCATCGCTTGCAGTATTTCCTTCGTTCAAGCCTGGCACAGGTCACCCAGAGGTCCTGGCACGAGCAGAAATAAACCACCGTTCGGGTGAGGCGGGCTTGGTAGCAAAATTCTACGCTCCTCACCAGGTGTATCTTACAGGTGGACTGATGAACAGTGCGTGGTAACAAGCTATTGGCATTTTTTCTTCGGCGCTGCCTAGCATGCAACGCGCTTCGGTCTTGGTTCCTTCACGGCCGTCATTTCACGGCCGCTTTCAGGAAAGCTGCGTGCAGGTGTTGCTCTGCCAAGCGAGGCTATGCACTAGGTGATGTGAGTGAAAACTAAATGTACACAGGGGCTAGTCAACGATGATATGGCACGTGTAACTCATGAGTCAGTCGGCTTCTGCAGCCCGCTGTTTTGCTCGGGTCTACAATGTTCATCGGCAGCAGTGTCTCCCTGTTATTTCCAAAAAAGTAAAGCGCCTAGGCACGAACCTCGAGTGCGTCGCGACTCTCACTTCAGAGCCCGTGGCCCAAGCGCCTCGGTCAGCGAAACCAACTGGGGGACCAGGCGCACTAGCCCGAGCACAAAACTTTCGCTAACCTTTTTAGCTACAGAAACGGGTACGTTACACCCCGAATGCGCGCGGTCACTTGGGCTGCAACCAGCAAACTTTGAAAGCTTCCAAGTGTTGTCCCAAAACTTAGCACGTTCATAATCCCATAAAACACCCTCAGAGTGCTGCACTGAGTTGTCGTCTTAAGTTACGTCGACTCTGCTTTGACGCACAACTGTGGCGTACACCCACTCGGTCAACCGAGAGTGAAACCGCAGCGTCAGTGTTACTTTTAAGTAGGCAGAGAGTAATGTACTTGTTCTTAATTTATGCTTAGTATGTTGTAGACATCAAATAATTTTTGGTACGAACTGCATTGTTGGTGAATTGAGTTTTCTGTTTTCTTCCCCAACTGCTTCCGGGCTCCATGCTTTGGCGGCCACGTGCCACGGTCGTTTGGTGTGGCAGAAAAACGCAGAAAACGGTCAAAGCATAATCACGTGAAAGTAGGTTGGAAACGCTGTCGCTCCCTATAAACATGTCTAATTAGTTTGTGAATGAGGTGTTCGGTAGCAAAGTTAATATGTGTTTTGTGCGTAGTTGCAATAATGTTCGCATAATAAATAAGCAAAAAGATCTGCTACGCTGCCTTTTTCATTCTTATTCACATCTCTTGGTGAGTCCCATCACGTAGAGGTTAAATTCTCGTTTCGTGCAGAACGTGGTTTTACACGCGTGATTTATAAAACCATCTCCTATATATACACAAGCGCTGCCTTTCAAACGCAACAGGAGTAAGCCGGACCAACGCATAAATTGTGAAATGCAACTACCGTAACAAGTAAGATAGAAAAGGACTAGATATTGAAACTAACGTTTCGCGCTTATCGCATATAAATTAGGTTAAAATAAATAGGCGACCTCGAATGCAAGAAAAAACGTGCCTGCGTGTATATATGTACAAGCTACAGTGGAGGAAAGCAGATCGAGCGTCAATGAATATATAGAAGGGCTCAAAAGAGTGCTTTATCTCTGAGACACTCTGGGAGCTGGCAAGGATGCCCGCAATAAATTAAATTTAGAGCGAGACCGCAAAAGTTACCGCCGAACAACCTGCTATACAACGAATTCGGCGTTAGGGTTTTCGCAGTAAACTTGTTGAGGGTAAAAATGTTGCAACCGCCCGAACTGTAGCAGCCTCAGGAAATCTGCTCTCGAATCCAACTACCGTTGCGATATTAGTACAAAGAAAAGTGAGGAATGGAGAAACGCCTTGGCACAAAATGACCCAGAAAGGGTCGACCCAGTCGACGCGTCAGTGAATGGGAGAATATGGCGAAAGCGGGTCAACTGAAGGCCCGAATCTGGGCACCCATGTGTAAACTTCTCTTTGTAAATATATCCCCATCGAAGCAATTTTGAATATTGGCGGTGCTCTGTCCATTGAAGAAGAGAACGCGCGACGTGAGAACTCCTCAAGGTCTGCTCTAGGGCAACTGCAATAACTGGCGTCTCTGATGCAAGAAATGTGTATTTGAGGCCGCGATCGGCCCAGCATCCTTCGGTCTGTTCAAGCTCAAATGGTTCCTATGCTATAAAAGTGCTAACACATAGTAGCGTGAAGAGAAGCCATAGCGAGTTCACGAATGGCTGCGACAAGCAAAGAAAGGAATGTCAGAGTTGCTGGCTGAGTCGACGCGTCGATGAATGAGGACGATGAGAGTCAAATCGTGACCCCAAATTATCGTAACACCGTGTCCGTCAACAAGAAAGATACGTAAACGGACGTGACCTAAAAGTTAAAAATATTATAGTGTTCGAGCTAAACTGCCTGGATTCCGGCGTTTTCTTTTCCGGTGGCGAGTTGGCTCGGAGGTGGGCGCTTTTCATTGGCGTTCATTCTCAACGGAAACGTTGAGCAGCGCATGGAAACGTTAACTGAACCAGCGAAATATCTTGTTTCTTCGTGTTTCTGATCGCACATATGTCAAGTCAACGAGCCCACCGGGCACTCCGAAGCGCATTATGGCAAACGCCGCAGAATCTTGCCTTCTATTCACCGCACGTCCGTCTAAGAAACTATTCGACCTACGCTTGCCGGCATCGCCGCTATATGCCCAAGACGTGAAACACATCTTAGAGTCCCTTTTACTTTTTACCGCTAATCCCTCGGGATAAGTATCTAGAGCCCAAGGTTCTCAGAATATCGGGAGCTTAGAGCGGGAAAAATAAAAACTTAATTCCGTTTCTGTCACCACGCGTAAATCCGAACCACGTAGTCTTTTTTTTTTTTTTTTTGCTTGGATTTTTATTTTAGCTATATTGTTGCGTTTTACTCTTGGAAACGTCGAATGGTCTGGAAAATATCTTCTGCAAACATGCGCGTAGACATCACTCAGCAGTGGGACTATGGCAGCGAGACGTTTCCACGCTGCAGGTGGCAAACTACAGAGTATGAAGATGTCATCAACTTGATCATCTTCGTCCTTTTCCGCTCAATATATGCGTGTATGTGTGTGTATATATATGTATATATATATATCTAGAGATAGAGAGAGGATAATTAAATATATATGCGTTGATATAGTTGTGTCCTACGCAAGGAAGAGAAACGGGGTCATGAACGATGCGTGAGGGAGAGTGAGGGGATGTGCCAAGGCATCACGTGACTCATGAGAACAAATGTGCTCCTTGACTGTGCACCCGAAAAGCCGGAGCAGGGCTGGCAGCCTTTCTCAGTGTCCACGGCGTCTGTGTACGACGCGTCGGGGTCTCGGCCGAGCTGCGTATAAAACGTCCCTTTGGCAACAACGAGAGGGCCCAGCTCCCAAGTGCGCGTTCAGGAGGGTTGGCAATAAATGCGCCGGCCGGGGTCGGCCGCCTGCACTCGCTCTGCGCACGCGCCAGGCCTCGACAGCCCCCAGCAAGGGCGTCGCGTCTGGAGGCCAAAACATCCGTTTTCGATGGCAACAACATGCCGGCTTCCGCCTCGGGTCAGTGCAGAGGGCAGTAGAAAAAATTGGATGAGCTCGAGAAGACTGTGCAAGGAATGAAATCGGAAGGTTCAACGGAGACGCAACAACCAGCTAGAGCCGGACACAACGCTTTGGCGATTATACGGGTGCAACGGCGTACACTCAAGTCCTCATCGCTACGAGGATAAAGTAATGCTTCGACGGGCGCCATAAATAATCTATTTCTAATACGGCTACGGGAGTGACTACCGCGAGCTGGACGCCTTTCCAAAAGGACGCCGACAGCCTGGAGGAATCATCCGCACAAGTACAAGCCAAAGAACGAGAGCTTGGAATGCGCGTCTTTTTCCCGGTGCTGCAGGAAGCGAGCCAACATAAGAAAAACAGCATGTCTCGCGGGGTGTATCCTTGCCAAATCTATAGCCACATGGAACTTCGCTATAAGTAATTGAAATGCCTATCGCTAGCCCAGTGCAATAGAGCATGTGCTGGAAGGCGACTGTTCGATTATATTTTGAAACTGAAACTGTGACCGGTCCAATCCTAAGTTCTAACAGGTTGCACGCATATAGGGTGGCAAAGCGAATTCTTTGATACGAAGTGTAAAAGAACCAGAATGTTTGGAGACCCAGGTAAACGACTATTTGTCAAGGAAAGAAGAAATCCTTCGCGATTAACGAATACCAAGTCAGGCCGTTCCGTCGGAAGTGAACAGATATGAGCGCCGCAGAATAAATGAATGTCTTCAGTGAAAATGAATTTGACTCAGGTTGACAAGGGGGATTAAGTGGGACACTTCGAGGCCGTGTGCTGACTGGCATCCCGTTCCAGCGACTACACTGGACTCCAACCTTGGAGAAGGGCAGCGGGATGCGGACTAGAAACCTCAATGAGTATTCAAAGCCTTCGATATTCAGTCCATGTGGCAACGATTGCAACATGTGCCCTCGAACCTTCGACTCAATGGCGTGAGTGTGTAAGGCAGAAGATCTGAGATGTCGTGGGGGAGAGGAGGAGAAGCACGTTCTACGCTTAACCGTCTGCTGAGATGGTTGGTTATATATCTGTCTGAATAAGGAAAGACATGGAAATCGCAAAACGGGAAGGTACATGTTTTTTTTTTGTATTTACCCTGTAGATCTGCATAACACAGTTCGTACCCAACGCGGCTCAGTCCAAACGCGAGAAAGTAATAGTAGTACTGAACAGATGCAAGTCGGACAGAAGGACAGCACTTTGAAAACAAAAATTTCACGTAAACGAAACAAATAAGAGCTGTACGATGAAACGCAAGGCTGCCGTCTGCTCTACCTGAGAGCAGTACAGAAAAGACCTCCGAGTCGAAGCAGGAAACATGTCCCCAAGAACGCATATTCTCTCGATCACGGCATCATCTCAAAAACTCACGTGTGATCAAAAATAGTCAGTCTCTACAAACAGTCACGCCCCCAGTGGGCGTGTAACCTTACGAAAACTTTAGCTCTCATCTTAGATCCTCTGGCGTCTGTATATATATATATATATTTATATATTTCATATATTTCATATATCGTTACAGAATGCATGTATATACCGCTGTGTAGTTATTATGTACACGAGTCTAAGTCTACAGATCTAGCGCTAATCAGCTCAGTCGGACGTGGGTAACAACGTCTGCGTCCGTGCGTGTGTCCGCAGGGGGCTCCGGGGGCAGCTCCAGGAGTCTAGAAAATGGCACAATCACGGCACGTCCTCGGCGGCGTTCTGGATGGCTGCGTGGAGCGGCGTTTGCCGGGGATACTGATATGGCTCTCGACGTCCGCCCGGCCGCAGGGCCGCCTCTCCGGCAAGAGGCCGCCGAGGGCAGCCGACGCGAATCGAACGCCGGGCCGACCGCTGGGGTTCAAGCTGCGCTCGTAATCTGGAATAAGAACACCTCGACACTTCTCAGCTACACGCCCTAGGCTCGCTGTTATAGTAAACCTTAGTAAAAGCTTATACACTGTGTAAAGGCATGGTTCGGGTGACTACTACGCCTACTGGCTAACTCGTCTACTACTTGTAACGTGTTCCTGATAATAACCTTAGAAGCTCTCGAGATAAGCCGAAAGGACATCACTTGAGCCCTCAAGCATCGTTTCTCTCCTTTCGCTGCCTAAGTGCATCTGTAGCGCTGTTCCTATTTCTGCACTATTTTCCATCTGGCGCTATCTTACAGAATTACACTAGCTAAGTTTGCCTCGCCCCTTGTAAGTCGGGAGGTCGCCGCCATCTTCTTCGGAAGCATCACACCTGAAAAAAGAGAGGAGCCAACAATGGGTAACGCGTCGGGGTATAAAGAAAAGAGATCGACGCTCTGAGTAGAAGAGAGAAACGCGATAAAGTTGTAGAGGATCACCAACGAACTGAAACCAGGAATCGAGATGGATAAAATGCTTCCTCAATGCGTCCTTATAATATCTCGGCGCAATCAATCAAATCTCGATGCTGGCGCTTCCGAGAAATCTCTTTGTGGCACTGACCTTTACCACATACTTCCCCAGCCCCTCACTTGCCCCCTCGGCACCACAGCGTGTTCATTTCCATCATTGCATCACGGGAGTTTATGTGCCGACGCAGACGGGAAAGTTGATGTTATCTTCATTTTGAGTATAACACGTCCACACCTCCTGAGCAAGCTCTGCGTTTCTGGTTCACGCACCGTCCCAGCGATTGTCAATTGGGAAAGAAATGGCGGGTCACCAAGACTCATGCCTAGTGTCCGATATTATGCAAAAGCTGAGTACACGCAGAACGCCTTCCACATTTTAGCAGACAGAAAGACTAACGCGCAGAAATATTGAAAATATGTATATAGCACAATCGAGTTTCGCATAGGAAACTCGACTCGGTCACATTCCGAACGTAAGACTTGGAAGACTAATCAACGCAGTTTCGTTCGCCTGATTTGTTTGCAGAAATTACTGTCGAGATAAGATCGCAAGTTGCCGAGCTACGCGGGCTTTATAGAGAGCGTGGCAACCAATTGCCGGATAGTGGGTGGGATACGAAAAATAAATTTCACGGTAACCGGCAGTGATACATCAACGCAACAGAGTACATTGCAGTCGAGCAAATTTGTGCGAATGGGCTATGGAAACTGGCGTCCTTACAAAAACGAAACTATGGCACAACTTTTCCTTTGCCGAAGACTATTCAGAATGAATTACTGACGTTCCTAACATACGAACTGTTAACTACATTTGCTCTCCACGTCATCTAACAAACATAACAAAAACAAGCAACGTTCACCCTGTATGTGCAGCAAGAACAAGCGCGAATAGGATTTGGCGTTGCTTTTATGCCACAGGATGTTTATCAAATTCTCTCGGAGGTGTCGGCAGTAAATGGGAAAGTGCGATGCCCCGAGCATTGATAGAGTTCCGTGGATTCAGCGTCAACCCATGCTTCCAGTGAAGCTTCTGTAGTACATGAAGTTAAGCGAGTGCTTACGCAGAGCTCGTCCAATCTACAGGTCGCGTAAAGCTGCGCCCTTAAGGGCCGTTTTACTGATGAGCCTCTCCCGGCTGTTAACTCGGTGGGGATTTGCAGATCACGTGACTGCGGTGACAAGAAGCTAAAGATACCTAGTGTTGCCACCAAATGGCTGCCGTAAGTCCATCCTCGCTTCGATGACTAAATCTCGATTTTGCAAGCAAAAAATGCACGGAATTCGTGTACTTTAGAAGCGCATGTAAAGTTATTTCCGGGGAAAGTTGTGTTAGGCGAGTACAGACCGATATCACTAAGCGTTTTACCCAAGCGTGACGCCATTATAACGAATGCTCTTGTATGTATCAGTTAACAAGCTCCACGAAAGAGCGGCGTTTGAAAACGGTTCTTCGCCATCGCCTGCATGACAGCAGTCACGGTCATTGGTGCTCCTAGCGCCACCTAAAGCCCCTCTGTCCTGGGAAAAGTGACGCCATTCATTGTTGTAGAAATGCTCAACGCACGTGCCGCGCGCCACTTCTGGGAAATTCATGGCGTCTGAAATCTAGCTCAGTGCTGCGCTGTGCCGCCATGATCTTCCCAAAGGCTGCACGTCGCACGTGCCTCGTGTATGGACGCACCTTGCGCGACTTTTGAAACAAGAAGGGGCTTTAGCGCCACCAGCTTCATCGCCCCCCAAAGGGCAACGAAGAAAGGCCGTTTTCAAACGATGCTCTTTTTGCGTAAACTTTTGCGCAAACCTTATGTTTACCGCAAGAAAGACGATAAAATCTCATTGCACCGTAGGCAATGTGCCTCCAATGTTCCATCGGTTTTGCCGCTTTTGCCCTGACGTTAGCGTAGCGCGCGCCACTTGGCGGACGCGCCACGTAAAGGTGCCAGGCAATCTAGGAAGCTTGTCAACTGACTTTGATCTAGTGACGTTAGTCCACGGACGGCAGGGCAGTGTACGAAACAGCTCGTTGAGTCCCGCGCTCTGCTCGTGCACATGCCCAGCTTGGTTGTCAGGAGTGCACAAAAACCAGTTACTAATGAAACTGGCTGGTGAGATCGGTATATAAAGAAAACAACAGGCAAGGCTTACGTACGCGGAGTTTGTTGGAACGCAAAGTACTTTCTCCCCACGGTCACGTGACATTAAAATACCTCCTGCGGGAGTATCGGGAGGGATACCCGCATTTGTCAGGGGTCATTTACACGAGTGCGTCACATCCGCCATCCACGTCAGAAAACGTAGAGAAGGTGAGACGGAAATTAATAGTAGTCTACTATTTTTGAAATCTGCACCAAAAAATATGATTCGAACACACTTGAGCTACGCGCTAGAATGCTTGATTTACACTTATTTCCGTGTGTCTGCGTCAAGAGTAAATATTTTAAACAGAATATAATTTAATGTTTCTTTAACGAACGGAGAAAAGACCCTAAATGCATTTGTAGCTGGTTGTTAAGCGATCGCCCTCCAGTTGGTGCAACCCTAGGGAACCATATGTGCTACTACAGAACCGTCTTTTGAGGGTTGTGACTTTAGGTAGTTTTAGTGAGTCGTTTCGACACGAACGGTTCGTCCCCGAAGGCTTCGCCGATGCCACGGCGCATGCACGCGGAGATCACCAGGGACTTGCTTCTAAGATTTCTATATTCCGAACGGTAAATGCTACCTCGCACGTCGTCTTTACATTCGTGGCACACCGTGGCACGCTGCAGAAATTTGCAGATGTTAACTTTCATATGGTGCTGCAATCATCATCATCGTATAGACGGTTGCGTCAGTTTTACAGTGCACTAAACCAGGTAAAATTTTATATAAAGTTTCCCAAAACGGTGCAGCTGATCCGTTCTTGATTTCGGAACCATGTGCTCCACGAATGACTCACTACATTTCCCTGCTAAATGGGACAGGAAGGACGACGAGGTAACGCCTTTGGCTGAAAGCGGGATAAGCCTGTCTGAAAATACGAGCACCGCAAGCCGCGGATCTGGCAGTGATAGTTAGCCGAACTGTGTTCGAACTTCGCAGGGGCTTATGGTTTCCTCCCTACTCATAGGGAGCGTAGCGTGCCCCAGTCGGGCTGATGCCGAGACCCTTCCTCGTTTTGGCCGCGAAAGATAACCCAAGCAGGAGCGCCACTCTACCCTCACTCATATAGTCATTAGGAGTAATGACTATTTGAGTTCGGGCATGACAGCGAGGGAAATTAATACCTTGGACTCAGGATAAGTCACCCACGCAAACATATAACCATGAGGGCCTCAACCGTTGGATAATCGCCGAGCGTTTGTAGTGTGCAAAGCATTCTACCTGACAGTGCCTCAAGCTGTAGTCAATTTTACGCTTCTGACATGAAATAAAGCTAGAACCTTCAACTGGTCATAATATTTGGCGATTGTAAAGGCGGAAAAAATTAATAGTCCTGTCCCGGCTGTGTGCAATAAAAAATAAGCGAGAGCACTTCAAGGACTCTCACAACCTCAGCATTGACGTTTCGTATTATTGTAAACGGCTGATAATGATAGCTAATTGCCGTATATACTTTAAGCTTGGTAACTGAGTATTTGTGGAGAAAAACATATTTCTACAAAGCCTGATTTAAAAATCCCTTCCATGTCCATTTCATATATTGCCAAGTTATGCACTCCTTGACTTTTTGGACGGCTTCAAAAGGAAGTGTCGTTTAACTTTAGCGTTTTCCCTCTCGTAAATAACGGCTACAACGAGCGCTCGCATAAGCGAACCGGCCATTGAGCACATTTTCGCTGTGCGCTTGCCACGGGATCTCTCTCTGCGTGCAGGCGATGCGTAATTTTTTGTTCGATCTTCTGCTCTTAGCAGCGTTCTGCTCAGTGGGTCTCAAATGTTTACTAAAAAGGAAAAGAGGAAAGTGACGAGTAGCAGACTTTGGCGATCGACGCGGAGGATAACCAGAACTTATTGATCTCGACTAATGCCCTATCGAAGTTTGAGAGATTATCCGACGTGAAAACACGACTCGTCCGAGACTTCGCCGTCCTTTCCATAGCCCTCATTCCTCCGAACGCCATAAGCAGAGCCGCCGGGCACCGCCATGTTGAAAAGAAAAAAGCCTGGAGACGACCGGTGCCTCGTCTTTAACACTTCGGAGCTCTGAGAATTTATATTTCTAAGACAACGGTTATAATTGTCGTCAGAATCATATTCGTTGAATTTAAGAAATTACACATCGCAGTACACTCTAAGAAATTCCTGCACGTATACTTACCCGCAAAATACTCAAGGAGCCAATCTCTGCGATCTACGAAATCAGCTTAGCGAATGATGAGGCGGAACATCTCTTTAGACCTAAAAATAAAGTCTGCGCCCTGGCATTACGCAATGCAAAGCATCATGCTTGCATTACGTAATGCCATAGCGCAGACTTAATTTTGAGGTTTAAACATATGTTCCACCTCATTATTCGCGAAGCTGATTTCGTAGATTGCAGGGATTGGCTCTTCGAGTGTTTTGCGCAGGTTAGTAAACGCGCATGAATTTTTTATAGTGTACACAAGAAGGAGTGTCATGATTTTGAATTTCTATCTAAATAACAAACTAGACAACTAATGCTTCTGACATCTTTCTACTTTTCTCACTTTAACACACGTGCAAATCACAATACGACATGCTCAGGACAGAACACAACATCAGTAAGCGGGTGTGTTTTGCCTTGTGTTGCTGATGCTAAAGTATTTACCCAGGCAATGCAGCGAACGATGGCTCATAGCAATACCGGAGCTTCTTACGAGTCATGCACTAACGATACATTGTATTTCTCTAAAACATTGTGCGCAGACACACCGAACACCAGACGAATGCCCGTGGAAACGTGTTGTTCGAATAAAAGCCCTAAAACTGCCTCCCATTGCAGAGTGTTCACCAAATTGTTTTCCTCAGGATATTGTCTGGCTGGGCCTATATCCACTCTCGGCCAATAGCTAAAGTAGCTGAAAAGCCAGCATTAGCTACATGGAACGAAAATAGTATATAGAATACATAACACGAATGTGCCTTACAGATACGGGCTGAAAGACCGCTCAAGGATTGCTACCCCCCGCACCTTTTACGGCCGTTAATCGCGAGTTAATGCAGCGGATTCTGGGATGTGTTTGCGTCCACCGTGGCCCCCCAAATTTAGCGAGAAAGTCTCCCCGTTATATTTAACGGCGAATAACAATGTCAAGTGACATTGTGACGTCACAGTGTCACATGACGCCACAGCATCGAGTTTTCAAGTCACGTGACCTTACAGCGTCCTGTGACGTCCGGTATCACGGGGCGTTATGAAATGACTCGACGTAAGTGTCACGTCAACACCGTCCGCTGATCTTGGTTGGTCGTAAGACCGCTAAATTTAAACACAACAGCGTAACTGTGCACAGGAAAGTGCGCAACAGAGCTTACAGCCCCTCAGCCGCAATTCGCTTGCGGGACACGGCAAGAAGCGCCCTTTCTTTTCGGCTCATTGCGGCAACGCCCCCGATCCTCATTTCGGCAGAGAGTAAGGCTGAACTAGCTTCTAAATGTGCAAAGCCCGAATGGCCTCACCGGCCGAGGGACGTTCTGAGGAACGAATGCCAATAAAGAGCCGAGTTCCGCTTTCCTACAGCGTTCCGCGGCCAACAGTGGACCCGGCGGACCAGTACATCGCACTATCGCAGTGTGCCTCGTCGTGCCTATTCTGGATCGATCTACATGTGCGAGTGGTGCAGTAAAAGTATACGCTTCCTCTCATGACTTTATTAGACGGCAAACACTCGAGGCGAAGGAAAACCACGCCGCATCAACGAAGTTGATCTCGCTGCTGACCCTGCTTTCCGTACCAATTCAGAGTATGCCTTTGTTTTCGATTTTGATAAAGTTTGAGGAGGGCCAGCCCCGGCACCAACATCGGGCATTCACCGAGTACTTGTGTTCCACTTCTCATTTTTAAGTCAAACCAAAAACAGATTTGACGTTCGTGTTTAGACAGCGTAAGGTCGATCTGCCTTTGAGATGCGGCGACACTAATTTAAGCTGTAGATGAGAACCCGGGCTGTACCACTGCTAGCCTGGAGTGTCTAACGTGGACGACGCAGCAGCGATTCACCAACGCACGCCGGTACGATGCTTCAGATTGAAACGAACAGCAGTGGGGATTGAACCCAGGATCCCTGGGTTCTGTGCGGAGCAAGCTTTCGCTCCACGTGTTCCGAGCTGCGCTGAGCTAGCACACTCGGCCACCGATCACCCTCATTGTCATGACGCGGTTTGCGTTGGCCTTGAATAGCTCACTGTTTGATAGAGCCACGATAAGGAAGGTACGCTCGCAGTATCGCCTGCATGAGTGCATCAATCCACGAAGACTACGGCGAGGTACATCGCGGTGGGGTTTGAGGTGCAAGTCCGCGGTGTCCACGGCTGTCCGTGGTACGATGGAGGAATCCGAAACTCGCGTCTTCGTTTGACAGTCCCAGAATGCAGCTCAGCCGCTAGGGGCGCTGCGGCTTTGCACATTGTCCGTCGGGAAAGCTTCCATCCAGATGCCTAGAGGAGTTGCACTGGCAAAGCTAAGTTTATCACACTCCAAGATACTGCGTTTCACACCGAAGCAACCAAGCGACACCACAATAACGTAGCAATCCAAGAGCACAAAACCACAACGCAGAGGCAGGGCTTCACTCGGAGACTGAGCAAAACGACATCAAGACCAGGATGATGGAAGGAAAGCGTCCAAACCAAACAAGTCGCACACGGCACCGACACAAAGCACAACACACCGACTTACTGGTGCGAAAAGGCCATCGTGTTAACCGAGGAGGCACTGTGTGAGGGAAGAGCTGCCGCCAGCCCTGTGTCAGAGGTTAGAGTTGGCCGAGCGTCAGAGCCCAGGCTGCTCCCAGAACATCGCGGGCGTTCGTCGTAGCCGCCTCTTTCGCGGATCGCCCTTTTTTTTCAGTAATACCTTCGGCCTCCAGTCACCTTCGTAAAACAAAAGTAGGCGCCGATGGCCAGGCGCTAAAACGAACCGACTGAAGCGTTCTGAACACGTTCCGTACAAAATGAAAGTTTTTTTTTATGTTGCACATTTTTAAAGGCGAAATTTGTGGTCAATAATTGGCAGTATAGTCAAATTCCCCAGCCGCGTTCCTATTTGAAGGGAGTGGGAACTCTCCTGACACTGGGAAGAAGGTGCTCGCAATACAAGGATGGAACCGAGCCATTCCAAATTCGACACTAAATGATTAAGAAAATATGGATAGTTTTGAAACATAGGATACTTGAACGTACGACACTAGACACGGCGGAAGGAACCAGTGAGGACGAACAATTTTCCTTCAATCGTGAATCAACTCGTCCTTACTGGCATTTGAGTTATGACAGGAGGTAGAGGGTCAATCGCACTCTTATTTCAATATACGCGAACACTGAGTCTCGTTTTTAAGTTGTCCGCGATACGGTAATGTCAAATGACAAAATTATCAGAAAAAAAAAAAATTAAACTTACCAATCTCGTTAAGGCAATCGTGTCTGCATACAGGTCTATACAAATATGAGGGTTCTCATAGATATATAGACTCGTAAACAAACACCCGCGCTGATAGGATGCTTAGTAGGGCCTGTTGGCGTCTTTCGGACGCTTGAGTTGAACTTTGAGGCGTTTCATTCCGATTTGGAAGCCATTCATGGCCTGGATCGCCGCCTGGGCGCTGGCCGGGTTGTCGAAGCTCACGAAGCCTGCGAACAAACGAGGAAACCTGCGCTTGTTTCCGTCCATATTCGCAACTTTCACGACCTATAGGGGGCGCGCTGGCGCCTATCAAAATGGCTGTAATCTGGATGATGGTCGTAGAACAGCAATACGAGGCGGGGCCTGCGACGCGTAAGTAATTACAATTTTGCTTTATACGAGCAATATTAGAGCCTTACTTTACTTTTCATGTCGGGAGAGTGTAGCCAAGCACCTTTATTGTGAAGCTGATCATCCAGGAGCTAGGGAGCGCGATTCTCACACCGCGGTACCACCATCGCTGAAAGTTGCGATTTCACGCGAACAATCAAACAGCAAACAAACAGTTTCTGGGCGTTGCTTAGCCGAGGCGGCGCGTTCTGACACCTCTCTGTTTTCGCCGTGGTCACTGGTTTGTATCGTTCCTTACCTCCGACCGCGACTTAAAGGCGAGACCGCTACCAAACCACCTTTCTACAAAACTTGATCCCGCCATCTTAATGTGTCATTTTGATTATTAAATGTGTTAGCATTTATGGCCCCGGTGCATGCAGCCTTCCTTCGTTTGGACGGTCGTTGTTTGGACTGGACTGGATGCGCTCTTTCGCTCGCTTCGTTCGCTCGTTACGTTTTCTTTCCCCCTTACAAAAGAGGAAGAGTCTTCCGGCACGCTTCCGATGAGGCGCCGCGGAAGCAAGAGAGGAGGGGAGCGAGCGGCCGTGGCGGTGGCACAACGTACGAAGCTACCTAAAACCGCGAGGCGCAGCGACGGCTCTGTTTGCGCGAAACCGCCTGCAACCGGGAGAACATATTGGCTCTTCGAAGACAAGAGTGTGCAAAGTATGCAAACCGTAGGCAGCGATCGAGGGAAGGTGTGGTGGCCACATCGTACACCGCCCGGGAATACTGGCTCTCCGGACATAACAGTATGCGGACCGTTGCGATGTTGGAGTTCTCATTTTTCGCTGAGTGGAAACCCCTGCGCTGAACTAACGCATTTTGTCTAGAATCAGCGTTACGACAGAAACGATTTCGGCGTCTTTTTAACATAAAAGGTGTTTTATCAGCCAATTTCTATGAATTTCTGTAACATTTTACTGTAATAGCCCAGTGTAACGCAAAACCAACACCGAAAGCGTTTAGCCCATAGGGAATCTTATAAAATTACTTCAGTCCCCAGCGGTATTTGAACTCATCACCTTGAGATTGCGAGAAAAGTGTTTTGCCTACTGAGCTATCTAGGGTCAGTGTTCTGAACGCGCAAAAGCGATCTCTCTGGCGCAAAGAATTGTTCGTGCGGGAGCGCGCTTTGTTGAAAACTCGTTTTATTTACAAAAAAAAAATATATTCTGCGCTTACCAGTCTGTCAGAACGATCAGGCTTGTATAATGTTTTATTGTTTTTGCAAATGGGTCAACGTTGCCCCAAGAGGTTTGTGCTCAATCCTCAACAATGAACAAAATGCAACATTGAGATCGCGCTATGTTATATTGTACAAACGCAAATACATTTGACGGAGGTCTTGTCTTCGAACCGGGACCTTTTCCCTGTCGCTTGCTTTCATGTGTGGACTGCAATATATCTACTTTTTCTTTGCCTCCTGCGCTTTTACACGAATGCGGGGCATTCCTGTAAATGCGTCGCACAGCTTTTTGTTTTAATGCCCTACCTGAAGCGATAACAGATATACAAATAAATGTTTTCGGTGAAGATTGTTACACGTACTGAAATTGCATTCTCGTAATTCCCTGTTCTTGACACGTACTACAAGTAAACAGAATATCGGTGTGTGTCAATGCCCGTACTGCATTGACCTTCAACCTAAATGCTTTGCGTTTCATCGCGGGTCGTGGCTATCTATCCTCAAGTACAGTCGACACTAACTCTGAATGCATGCAACCTTATTACACGTCCGAGACATTCTCGCTCGCTTGTGAGATCTGATAACGCTACACAAATGGTATATTTTACCGCTGTCGTACCTCAAGTGCACGTGTCTTCAATCCGTCGCAAGCTATCCGCAATGGTTATGGGTAGCTACCGGCCTGGACACTGGGGGGGGGGGGGGGGGGGGGGCTGGGATACCGGGGTAGCCGGGTAGTCTGCCTAAGTCTGTTCAGTAGTGGCGGCGCGGAGCTGTCAAGAGAGCAGAATTTGTCCAGGGGGAGAGAAGGAATTGCGCTATCTTCAGCATGGAGGGACCTTACACCATAACAGCTCTCACTGTAAAATGTTTATGTTCGACGCCCCGACTCTTTTAAAGCGGCAGCTTTAAAGGGCCAACCAACCTCAGGAGCCACGTAAGCTCGAAATGTGTAGTTTGGCCAGTCCGCTGAACGATCTTGAAAGAATTCTATCGAAATCGCTGCTGTCGCTACGCTAATCCTCGACGAAAGGCGCTAGCATTTCGCGCAGGGGTTCCGACTCAACAAGGATGAAAATTCTAACCTTACAACGGCTCGCATACCGCTGTGTTCGGAGAGCCAGTCTGTTCTCGCGGGTGTTGGCGGTTTCGCGCAAACGCCGACGTCGCTGCGCCTTGGTTTTACGTTGTCGCGTAGATTGTGCCACCGTCACCGCCGTTCGATCCCCTCTTCTCCCACTTCCGCGGTGCGTCATTAAAAGCGCACCAGAATACTATTTCATTCTTGTAAGAGGGACGAATGGGCGAACGATCGGAGCGCAAGAGCACAGCGGAATCCGCGCATCGATTTTCCGAGACCAGTCCACTCCATTCCAGTCCAGTCCGAACCACCACCGTCCAAACAAAAGATGGCTGCATGCACCAGGTCAATACATTCTAACGCATTTAAAAACGGCAACCTGTGACAGGGATCAAGCTCCGGTAACCGGCGTGAATGCCCAGTGCGCTACTGACTGATGTACGACCTAGTACACAGCAACGGGAGGAGCATAAGAAGGTGGCGTAAGAGAACGCGCGGAGCGGACAGGGGGAGGAAGGGCTAGAAAGAGAGAAGCCGAAACAGATGGATTAGAAAGAGTGCGCGGAGCGAGGAGTGGAAAGAGCAGGAAAGCGCGTCTCCCCGCCCTCGGGGACCCAGGAAATTCAGCCAAGTCTTTGTATCCGGGTGGTGTATCCGGATGTTCCAAGTAGCGGGGACAATAGAGGAATGATCAAGAAGAACACCAATTGCCTACCGAAGCACTTGCTTTGGTTTGTAGCGCGGTCGATGAAAACCTTGGCGCTAATGACGTTGCCGAAAGGCATGAACATCTGCATGAGCTCGGCGTCTCCAAACTCCTGGGGCAGGTGGTAGATAAACAGGTTGCAGCCCTCGGGACCTGCAAATGATCGAGATGACGCCAAGCCGGCGATTGTCACTCTCGTCGGTTAAGAAGCAAACAAGGTACCTGCCGTCGTGTATTTCTTTCGCCACAGAAACGCGCACACGTCGCATGTAAATCACGAAACCGAATGTACCTCTCCACACTGCGTAACGTATGTATCAACTTATTTGGAGTGTGTTCCATAACTGTTTCCATAGCATTAATGTACGAAAAAAGTCAAAGCGGGAAAAAAAAAAGCTTTCAGCCTCCCTTTGGTGAAGGAAGACCAGCGAAGCTGTACTTTAGTGGGAATGAAGCAAAGGCCGTCCGCAAGTCGGCAGGTCAGAGTGGAAAGGCTGGAAAGCTTGCTGCGATCTATGAGCGACTGCGGCAAGCAGACAACCGGCAAACACAGCACTCTGGACAGCTCCCGCCATTTATGAGCCACGGCGGTTACCAGAGTGTTGTGTCGGCATTTCTGTGCGGACGGAGGCGATCCTGGGGAAACTAGCCCTTAACAGCTCCCCGGAGTAAGAAACTGAAGGAGAGCAGGAGACAATAGCGGGCAGTGACTTCAGAACACCGCGCTCTGTTGGAATGGTTCGTTGGTAGACGCAACGTTGACTGCTGTTGTCCCCACTGCACTCGTCGAACGCATTAGAACGCAAACTCCGGAGTGCGGCGTTTTGAGTTCCTGTAAATACGCGCCTGAACGGTGCAGTGGAGGGAAAGGCGTTGCGTCTACCCGCTAGCCATTCCAACCGGACCTCGGCGTTCCCTAGTCTCCTCTTCCCCCTCGGTTTCTGTCCGCACAGTACGATGCCGCCGGGACGACTCCGAACGGGGAAAAAGCAGAGTAAGCGTGGGTTTATGCGATCCAAATGCGTCCCTGGTCGAAGCTATCCACTTGTGTCGTCTACTGAGCCCCTCGCCATACTTCACCAAGATAAACAAACCACTCCAATAACTCATCGTTTGCGAGCAAACAAAGGGAGCTCAGAGTTTGGGAATGCGGTTCATCAGCATAGTGCAGCGCGGCTTATCGGAAGTGTAAAAGGCGCTTCGTGAAACCGCCATGTAGCCCAGAAATGACGGAGCTTACTAACAGCGGTAGCACGTGGACGATATAACAGATGTTGAAAATTGTTTTAATAATCCAGAGCACATCACAATCGCTAGTGTACTAACAGTATTTTGATGCGAATTCACGCGTCAGTGTTCTTAATAAGCAGAGATTCCTCCCGCATTACGTTAAGTGTTTTATAGTTAGCAAACAAGATTTCTATCAAACACAAGACACGAGGGAATTGTTCGCAAACAGCAGGAATAGCGCGTGACTAAACTGCGAATTTACCTTCGAATAAACGCCACGACGCCCCTTACACAAGCAGCAAACTAATAACCATGTCTGACTTTATTGAATTAGAGCGTCTATAAAACGCGCTCGTATACATGACATATCGACCTTTATAATATATGTAGTTTCTGGACCGAAAATTAAATATTGACCCAGCTATATAAAAATGTGCCAGGCACTTTGTTTTGAGCTGAAGTATTTTAAACAAACTCAAACTTTTATCATTTACTATTAAATCCTTCATAATGCTGGCCCTGCCAAAAAAAGAAAAAAGAAATGGTGCAATATTTTATTGGAAATAATAGTGGAAACGTCAATTCAAGTTCAAGAAATCGAATCTTAGGCTAAAAGTACGGCAACCAGATTTTTCGCACCAGAAGAATGTACTGGAAATGCACACCCAGTTAAAACAATTTGTTTTGTTCTGGATTTGTCCAAACTGGGATATCAATTTACTTGAAATATTACTCGACCCTAATCTGGGCCCTTTAAATCTAGTCTCCGCACTCAGAAACCATACCGGTAGTGACATGCATACTCTAGAAGAGAAACATGCCACTGGATAATATTTTACTGAAAAACTTTAAACGTGAAATTAACAGGGAAAGAAAGGGACAGAGATTATGTGTGTATATTGCAAAGGGTAATAAAATTAGCTAGATTTTTCAAAGCAGAACTACTAGAAAACTTAAACCAAGAAGTCGACATATTTTTATTAACCTTTGACTACCTTATGTTACACACTTTCCCGTTGCTAGTTAGCACTCATGTAGATAAATCAGCGGTGTATGCCACATCACACCGAAATGATAAAGTTCCATCGCTCAGAAGTGTTAGTAATAAAGAAAAGCGTGACGATCAGCAACGTCCGTTAGTGTAATTTCATTTCTGTTGACGAGACACACTTTTCTACGAAAGAGAAAATATAAGAAGGCTAAGTTTCAGATTTCCCCAGCTAAAAGATACCTAGGCAAAATAGTTTATGATTACATATACATGGAACAATGTAAGGAGATGCAATTCTGCTATTACAAAATAGCAGAATTGATCAAATCAAATCAGTATACCCACACCAGACATCCGGTAGACCCAATGCGCACGAACAAAACAGGCTGTTTTTTTTTCTTCCAAAGGGATTATATCATGTCCTTTCTTCAGTGCCGTCCTTAACGTGCAATTATATAATAAACATATTAATAAAACGAGCAGGGACACGCGTCGGAGCAGTTCGTTGGGAAAAGCTATGTACTAGGCACACATACTTGAAACGAATAAAACGACAAATTTATAAACGGCTCGCGAAAGTTGCGCTTCCTCCATAAAAAAACAAAGCGCTAGGTTTCGGACCTATTCGTGTGTGTGTAAATATTGCTTTTATTATAAATTTAAAGAATAAATAAAAGAGAAAGAGGGATGCAAGACGCATTGTTAGTCACCCATGGAGGGGTCTGGTTCGTCGTCTTGCGGGGATCGGGAGAAAAAGAGGATAGGGTAGGAAGTGACGATGGGGATGGGCGTATTTACAGAAATGAAGGGTATAGCCGCTGATGCGATGGAAGGACAGGTCGCCTCCCACCGCCGCCCCAAACGCAGCCGGAGCACGCGCTCCCCTGCTGGGCGCTGACTTCGAGAAGCCGAAGCGCCGGGGCACGAGCGCTCCCGCCACGATTAGGACGACGGAACGAAGCATCCGCCGCTTCGACCCATCGGCGACCATAGGATGAAGGCATGTTGTATGCTAGTTCACAGTCTGGATGACAGGTTTGTCTTTTCTAAAAAGTCAATGAGGGCTTTCAGTATATTTGTTCTTCTCGTCCGGGATCCTGATGGGAAGAGGAGAGCGTTGGAATCCCCCGGCGAAACACGGAGAGCCTTCAGTGTTTGCGTTAGTGCGGTTCGCTCTGTCCCTAGCGACTGACACTCCCAAATAATATGGTTTCTGTCTTCGATGATGTTGCATGTGGTGCAGTTGGGAGACTTAATGCGCTTGATGAGGTGAAGTCTCTTGTTGGTTGAAGCGCAGTCGGCTCGCAACCTGTGTAGGAGTGATTGTTGAGGCCTGGAGAACTTTTTTCGCGGAATCAATGCTGGAATGGGTGTTGAATTGGTTTCAATATACGGGTGCATGCTTTCTATTGCCGTTTTTATAAGAGATTTTGCTGCGTTGTACGGGTGGACAAAGATAGTGGGTCTTTGGTCTGAGTGGGCCTCTGCTGCCAGCGAATCTGCTCTTTCATTTCCGGGTATACCTACATGTGATGGGATCCATTGAAACCAGATGGTTGTTTCCTGTTCTGCAGCGCGCCTGGTCAAATTTGCGATGGATCTGGCTAGTGGGCACGCTTTTTCGAGGCGTGTTAGTTGCTGTAAGGCGCCTCGAGAGTCCGAGAAGATGGCGATGTTGGATAGGTTGGTGTGTCGTAGAGTTTGGGTAATTGCTAACCAAATGGCAGCAAGCTCTGCAGTGGTGGAATCAACGCAGATATCAATTCGCCCTTTACCGTGGTGTCCATCTTCAGGCAAGACATAGGCTGCAGTGCACGAGCTGTCTTTTATGCTTCCATCGGTATAAATGTGCGTCATGCCGGAGTAGGTATTTTCTATTGTCTCAACGGCGATGCTCCGCGCTACCACTTCAGAAACGTGCTTGCGTCGGGGGAGGTCGGCTATCTCGGTTGAGACGTGGAGTTGACAGTCGTCCCGATAAGGGGGAGGTATCGGGCATACATCTGTTGGGTAGCCGATAGTATCGCGGAATGTTTTTACAGCTTTTCCAACCTGAGAGTGGTGTCGTGTCATGAGGCGTTCAAGAAGTGGGTCCGAGGATGGAGCATCTGATAGACGGCTGACATATCTTAATGCTTTCTCCTGTGCTTGGAGCTGCAGTGGAGAATCTCCCGCCTCGGTCAAAGTTGGAATGTTCTGTGCGGATTTAGGTAGCCCAAGGCAGAAACGGAGGGCCTTTCTGTGAAAGGTTTCTAAATATTTCCATTGCGTATGATTTATATTTAAGAATGGCAAGGCGTAGAGCATACGACTTATTATTAGTCCTCGGTAGAGTGTCGTCATCGTCATCTGTCTGGCACCCCAGTTTTTTCCAGATATTCGATGGAGAGCGCCGAGGAGCTTATGGGACTCATTGAGGATACCTTTTACCGCAGGGCGCCAAGTGACGCGGTCGTCAATGATTACGCCTAAGTATCGAACTTGTGGTTCACGTCGAATGACCTTGCCTCCAATTTTAAGTGCAGAGTATTTTCCTTTCATTCTGCCTTTAGGGCGATAGGTGAGAGCTTGTGTCTTAGACGTAGAGAGTGTCAGACCGGCATGGTGGAGGAAGGAGGCCGTGCGATCTAGAGCTCGTTGTAGCACTGCGCGGACGGTAGTGGACAGTCGGGTAGGCCCAGCGCACCATAGCGCGACGTCATCCGCGTATATGGCACAGTGTATGGGATAAGGTCCACCCACAGGAAGAGCAGTCGGTAGTCCAGCCATTACGATGTTAAAAAGCAGAGGACTCAAAACACTGCCCTGTGGTACCCCCTGGGTGCTGCTTCGTATCGTGCTCAGGCGGCCAGCCAGTCGGACAGCGAATGTTCTGTTGTAAAGAAAAGAAGTAATGAAGCGAAGGGCGCGCCCTTCTATTCCTGTGTTCTGTAGTCGTTCTAGGATTACAGAGTGTGGCAGAGCATCAAATGCTCGATGGATGTCGAGAAAAACGGTGTGGATGACCTTTCCTTCTGCCTTTGCTTGCTCGAACGACGATACGATGTCGCCGATGGCATCTGTTGTTGACCGGCTTCTTCGGAATCCTGACAGCTGAGAAGGAAAGGCTTGCGCTCGTTCCAATTGCCAATTTAAACGGCGGTGGATCAGGCGCTCAGTCAGTTTGCATAAGCACGAAGTCAAAGAAATCGGACGGTACGAAGATATGTCAGCTGCGGGCTTGTTAGTTTTTTTGATTGGTACTATTACTGAGTGTCGCCAGGTGTCAGGGACATCCCCAGATTGCCAAATATTGTTTATAAATTGTAACAGTCCGGGTAGGAATGACTCGTCTAAGTTTTTTAGAGCCTGGTTTGTGATGCGGTCAGGACCCGGAGCTCCACGTCGAGGGCATCGGGAGAGGGCATATCGGAGCTCGGACAAGGTAAAGTCATCGTCTATGTTGATTGTTGAATAGGTTGGAAGGGGGGGCCTTTTGGGAGGCGGATTTCCTTGGGGAGGGCTTATGGGGCGTGAGAACTCGTCTGCAAAATGTTCAGCCAGTTCTTGGAGCGATGTTTGATTTCCCATTGCAATTGCTGCATAGGGGCATTGGGGAGTCACTGGTTCTAAGAGGCATTGCACAGTGGTCCAAGGCCGCCTTGACCCAGTATCTGTCGATAGACTTTCACTGCGTTGGTCCCATTGTAGTCTCCCCAGCCTTATGGTATATCGACGAAGTGCTGCATCGATGCGTCGAGATTTTATCCAATCTTCATCTTGGTGTGTGCGTCGGGCGATTCGCTGTGCTTGTCTGGCATTGGCGCGTATTTGAAGATACGTAAGATCGGGTACGGGCTTACTTATTGGGAGGGTGATTTTTGTTGTAGCTATATTTAAGGACGTTAGTATAGCTTCTTCTAAGCAAGGTGCCTTTGCGCTTTTCATCAGATTTGAGAATACTTCTCTGTACCTGTCCCAGTTGGTAATGTTGTGAGCCCTGGTTTTTGGTTGGGTGCCATAACGTGGGGTTAGTCGGATTGGTAGGTGGTCGCTCCCCCAGGTGTCTGGTTCGATGTCCCATAGGAAGCTTATTTCTTTTGATACAAAAGTGAGGTCAAGTACACTCGCCTTTTGTAGATTCGCGCGAACGAATGTTGGAGCTCCGGAGTTGAGACAACGCAGTCCAAGGTCTCTGGTGACTTCAAGCAGTGCGGTTCCTCGTTCCGTCGTTGTGTCACTTCCCCAGGCGTAATGATTGGCATTAAAATCTCCGCACCAGACTATAGGCCCTGGGCATCGGTCTCGTATTACTCTCAGCAGGTCTGGGTCCCACGATTGGGCTGGTCGGATGTAGGATGATATAACTACGATTGTTTGATCAGCGATCTGTAGTTTGACGGCAACATGTTCGGCAACAGTGGTGTTCAGGTCAGACAGGTCTATTTCTCCATGCAGGAAGTGTCGCTTGACTAAAAGGGAAGCCCTTGATTTTCCATCGGGGTGAGCAGTGACGCTGTGGTACTCCACGTAAGGGGAGATTCGCTGGGAACCCTTCTGGGTGTATGTCTCCTGCAGAGCAAGTACGTCTGTTTTAAGTTCGATGAGTCTGCGACGAAGCTCTGGCAGGCGACGGTGGAACGAATTGGTATTCCATTGGATGATAGATGGAAGTTTTTTAAGGCGTTTTGGGGTTTGTGATCGTTTTTTGGGGATCGTTCGGGTATCAAGCATGGTGTTGGTATTAATATCTGTTAAGGCTCTGGCAGTTGCCTGAGTCTACTTGATCCAAGAGTGGACGAGAGGTAATGTGAAGTCAATTAGGGTAATACCTGCTCGTGCGAGCGGGTGCTCCAGTGTGGCCAGAAAGGTACGTAGTAGCGTCGCAAGGGTGTACACAGCGGATCCTAGTCCTTGAGGTTCAGTATTATTGTCGGAGCCTTGGGTACGAGATCGGTACGTTGTGTCGCTAGCCCTTTGAGCAGAAGTTTTTGTCACTCTTGCGAAGTTGTCCTGGCGTTGCCGCGGTGATGTTTCGGGTCCAACGCTAGTTGATGCTGATGTGGACGCAGCTGACTGACGTGGAAGAGCAGGAAAGTGATCGTCGTCTAGTGGCGGCATCATAGCATCCTCCACTTTCTCGTTCTGGCTGTTCCTGGAAGATGGATTCAGAGTTCGAGCAGTTTTGTTCTTGTTGTCGGAGAGGACAGCTGATTTCGCTAGTGGGTAGCTGACCTTGTGGGTGTGACGATAGCTCGATACAGCGGCTTCCGTTTTATAAAAGGGACAGCTTCGAGAGGTCGCCTCATGCTTTCTTTTGCAGTTGACGCACTTAGGTTGGTCGGCTTGGCAGTCGACGCGGTCGTGAGTGCCGCCACAGCGGCTGCAACGTTGCACATGGGGGCATGCGGTCTGAATGTGCCCGAACCGCCGACATTTGTGGCACTGTCGTGGTTTGTCGGTGTACTGCAGTACTCTGAAGCGTATATGCCCCACAACGACGTGTTCTGGCATGGTCTCGGTTGCAAAGACAAGTTTCACCGTTTCTGAAGCGCCTAGCCTTTTGACTAAGATGACTGGCGTAGTTGCGCTTATAGCCTTTTTGAGGTCACTTTCTGTGATGTCCTTGTCTACGTCACGAATGATTCCTACGGCCGAAGATCGTGGGTGAGCTTCATAGGTCTGGACTTTGATCCCTAATAGAGTTGTTAAAGTAAGGATCGTTTGCATCGAGCTGTTGTCCCGCATGTCAATTGCAAGGAGGTTCAGTCTGTAGTTCGGTCGGATTTGAATCACTCCATGGGGTGTGATGGAATCTAGCTCTTGAGATAGGGTTAGAGGGTTAAGCTTCGCGATGAGCTTTGTCGGGTCTTGGGGTTTGACGATGACCGTCCGGTTCTCGCGATGGGCATCAATGATGGTGGCTTGACTTGAAGCAGAGCCCCCGGAGACGTGGCGTCGCTTCCTATAGTTGAGGGTCCAGCCGGAACCTTCTTTTTCTGCGTCATCTATATCGTTGTCATCGAAGCTCTCAGAGCCGGGGGTGGATTCGCTCATGGTTGCGTCGCTCGGAGTTGGGGCTTCGGTCAGGGTGACTGCCCAAGAGGTTTTGCGAACGCTCCCAGGGGGATGTAGTTTAAATTACCAAAATAATAGTAAAAAACTGATTTACTTGCAGAGGTGAGGAATCAAGCATCCGCTTAGGTGCGTCGTCGTCGTCGTCCTCCGGTGCGCAGCTGGACCTATTCCGGCAAACTGTCGTTCACACGTCAAACATAAGCCCGCCCCGTTTTGGTTCAGATCACACCACGCCTGACAGTAAAGCGGACGATGCCTCTTTCCCGCCCATCCTTTGTGCAGAGCCCAGCTACTTTGAGTCACTGAATTTCGCAGAGAGACACGCAGGAAAGATGAGGGCGCCATGCAGGAAGGGAGGAGGAAGAGCGGCCAGCTCCGGTGCATCAACGATGAAGAGAGAACGCACCCGTCCATTGTCCGAGTTTCAGTCGGTTTGAAAAGTGACGCGCCGCCAGGAAGATACATTGAATAGTTCTATTTAATTAAAAAAACATAGTGGTTTTTGTTGTTTTTTAGAGAAGAAACATATGGAGTGTCCGAACGAGAAAAATACTTATGTAATGGGCTTCAATAGAAGATACGGCAAGGTGCATTATTGTTTATTACGCGGCTCCGTTCTTCTATCTGGGCGTGGCTTTCAATTTCGATCGACACTTTGAGCGTATAAATGAAATATAACATAAAAGCAATAAAGCGTAGGATTTTCTTAATCTCAAATTTTGTGGTTTTTCCGAGCTCCTTTGGCCTGCGAAAAGGTGGAAGTATTTCGCTGTGATGCTGGCGAGTTTGGTGGACCCAGTCTCTCGCAGTTGTGCTGTTCAGAGGGCTAACGACAACGAGAAAACAATTCGTATATTGGTGAATAAAAAAAAATATACGCTAACAAAAACGTTTTATGTCGTGATATATTTCATGTTAGAAGACTCCACGGTTGCATATATGTTATCACTTTGAAAATAAAACACAAATTTATTAATTGCGAAGTAGGAACTCTCGAAATAACAATGCCCAGTCATACCGGAGTTCTCATTAATGTGGCGCAGTCCTAATTTGAGGAGTCTGTTTCAATTTAGCCAACAGGGTCTCAAAATTTGGCGCACATCATGGAATACGTATTTTTAGCGTAGAACTAACACCCACGTATGATTTCAGTTAGGTGTTGGGATCACGTAAGTGTGGTTTGGTTTATGACACGCGTGAACCGAGTCCGGTTTTGGGTATGGGTAAATGCAGTTTGGTTTCGGCTATACGTATCTGTAGTTTAGTTTCAGGTCTAAGCGCATTTTTCTGAATCAATAATTAAGTATTAATTCTCGCCCCGTAATCCGCCTTGAGTCGAGACTGGAAAACGTGTGCCGTCTTTTTTTAGGTAGGTAGCGATTTGTGTGCCACGTGGGCCCGATTTCCTAGAAGGCATTGCGGCAGTGTCGGATCTTCCAGCGTTGATTGGGCACGCATGCCGAATCAGTGTTAGCTGCCACTCGTGTTCTGATTGATTAAGGCCGCGTCCAACGCGCGGCTCGGGCTGGCCTCCGGAGAACTCGAGCGACAGGGCCCTGCCATCGAGGTCTGAGGACAGGACGGGCTTGTTCACAACTGCCTCTTTCATGTGCGCTCGCCGGACGCACATTGTAACTGCCCGCGGCTGAGCTCCAAGCTATACCCATGGCGGCCGTATATGAGCGAAGCGACTGAAAGGACGTTACCTTCTCTCTGCGTCTGGGGAACCACCGTCGGCTGTTGCGTGAGTGCCTGAGCAAATTGGCCGTATGCAGCAGGATAGGCGGCTGTTGGGGACATAAACCGAGCCACAGTAAGATGATTGCGCGCACAGCCGTACAAAAAGATGACAACATATGTACGAAACAACGGGCCGAAAACTGGACCCATATGTAAAAGTGTTAAAAAAAGTCCGAGCGCACGTAAGCACTTCTTATGAGTTGCGAATGCGAAAGCATGAATGTGGTTCTTCCGCTCCATTAGTTCGTCTGCGGTGTACTGGGGTGGACGACCACGTTTCGCTACTGCCGAGGTTGCGGCCGCCGGCGATATAGATGCCTCGGGCGCCACAGTGTTTCTTGGCGCCGAAGAGGAACAGAACGGCCGCAGCCCCCCACCCCTCTCCGGCAACGCCTGACACGAGAGCGGCGGCCGAGCGCGCGCTCTCGTGAAGCGGCCGCCAATGGCTATTTAGGAACCGTTTTGCTCAGCCAAAGGGAGAATGGGCGTATCTTTCGTGTTTTTCTGTGGTTACAGACGCCGCCGGCTCTGCTCCATGCGGTAGTTAATGCTTCCGCATTAAAACGTTCCGTGCCAATAACAAAAAAAAAAAATAAATAAAAAAAACGAGCACAAGGAACTTTGTTCCGGGGAAGTCACATATTTGTGATTTCCCTACGGTCAATTAGCGCGCGTGGACTCTATTTTTGTTTAAATAGAGTGCCAGTATTTTCTCACGGTAATATTTACTTGCCATTTGTTTCGGTCATGCATTCCAGAAATTATGAAAATAATCCCTGGAGAAGGAGAACAAGAGGGACAAAGGACAAACACAAATCTCCAAACACAGCCAGGTGACTGGTGAGCGACCTACGAAATCTGCCTGGTCCGGGTATCGGACCCGGGACCTCTCCATTACAGGTGGAGCGCTCTACCAATTGAGCTAACCAGGGGTTAGACGTCAGTAGAGCAAATGGGTTTTATCAGCTGCCACCAGTCTAACACCAACAAGGGTGAAGCTTGCAATTTAAGGTTAAGATTATAATGCAATTAAATGCAAAGGTGCAAGCGAGCTGGAAAAGAATGACGAAAGTAATCCCTGGAGAAGGGGAACAAAGGGAAGGCCGCTCTTCGTGCGATTCAATCACATATAAGAGCGAAGCGCTCGTGCCCAGACCGTGCTAGCCGAGGTTCAATTTCTTCCTTATGCTGCGTTAGTAAACACTGGGGGGTGGGGACAACAAGCTCGATAAAGCGCCCCCTATAGTTCGATCTCCTGTCCAATAGCTGTGTACGCAAATGCTAGTGGGCAGTGGGGCAGATTTTTTCATAATTTCTTGTCCAGCTCGCTTACACCTTTGCATTTAATTGCATTATAATGTATTCCACGTTTAATGGGAGAGCATCTGCCAGCTCTGCGAGCCTCGCAAGTCGCACAACCAGATTTCTGGAAGAACAGAACGCGCTATTTCAAGACTCGTATTTATTCAAATAAAGTAGCCCAGAAGTACAAAAAAAAAAGAAGAAAAAAATGCGGCAATACAATAATTAAAAAAAATAGATATAGAGAAGAAACCCTAAAAGAAACCGTAAAAATAGATATAGAGAAGAAACCGTAAAGTTCGTTTCAATATTAGGGACTGGAGAAAATCAGCCATGTGAGGTACGTCCTGATTTCGAGCTCTTTTCGTTCCCGTTCCGCTCATTGAAAAGTATGCCGACAGAACTCAAGCTGGCGGTTGACCTCGCCATACCGCTCTGTCCTGCTGCACGACAAAGTCAAGTCTGCAATAGTCACCACCATCATGGCAACGAAGCGTCTACTAAAAGAAAGCACACGCGAACGCAGACTCTGAAACCAGCATAACTAGGGAGTGTTCACCGGCGGCTATTGGGGAGGAGATCAAACAGTCACGCCTCTGGTGGTGCGCTTGAGCTGTGGGGACAACGAACTGAATTTTCTTCTTGGTTGTTGATCCGATAAATCGAAGAGGACGATTGAAGGCCGCTCTTCGTGCGATTCAATCACATATAAGAGCGAAGCGCTCGTGCCCAGACCGTGCTAGGCGAGGTTCAATTTCTTTCTTATGCTGCGTTAGTAAACACCGGGGGGTGGGGACAACAAGCTCGATAAAGCGCCCCCTATAGTTCGATCTCCTGTCCAATAGCTGTGTACGCAAATGCTAGTGGCCAGTTGCGCACAAAAAAATATAATCGAAACACAAGCAGACCTACGTACAGATTAATTAAAAAAAAAAGAAGATAATGCTGTAATCCCCTCCATTCTAGGACAAACGCAGCTTCAATTTTTTTAGTTAGTTAAAAACAAAATTTCATTTCTCTTCTAATTCCTACTTCCTTGCAATAGGACATTAGAGAGTTTTAGTAGATCGTTCCGATACCTCCGATACTCCCGATAACAATACCCGATAACGATGCGATGCATCAGCTCAAGTTGCGGGGAAGTATCGGGTTTCATTATCGGAGTCATTGGAACGATCTATTGAAACTCTCTATTACTTTACTCGTTTTCGTTCCTTTTCTTTGCGTTTTCACTTCGTTGCTTTAGGACGTGACGTAGCTGACGAACTAACTGGAAGGTAGAAATCAACTTCAACGCTTCGATTTGATCAAAAGAGCACTTCTTTTTGCTCGTGTGCAGCCTGCATTGTATCTTTCTTGCTTTAGAATTCTTTGATCTAAAAGCATCAAAGGATAGACAAACAATAGCTAAAAACTATTTTTTTTTCTCGCGAAAGTTTGATTTACGTTATACTAGTAAAACTGGCCCCATTTCAACCACGATTTCAATCATCTTAATTTTGCTACTCTGCCGTGAACTTAACATACTCTTACTTGGGCTTTTCCCTTTTTAATATTTGTGCGTATTTTTCCGTCTGCGTACCAAGAAGGGGCAAGGGCCTTTTCAGGTACCTACGACTTTTGCCTCGGGCTCCTTCGCGGAGAAATCCGTGGGTGCAAACGAAATTTACGCAAAAACCTGGGACATTAAATGTTCTAAATTTAAATTTGTCATTATAATGCAATTAAATGCAAAGGTGCAAGCGAGCTGGACAAGAATGATGAAAATAATCCCTGGAGAAGGGGAACAAGGGGGACAAAGGACAAACACAATTCTCCAAACACAGCTAGGTGACTGGTGAGCGACCGAAAAAATCCGCCTGGTCTGGGTATCGAACCCGGGACCTCTCCATTACAAAATCACTCTCCATCAAAACCCGTTTGCTCTACTGATGTCTAACCCCTGGTTAGCCCAGTTGGTAGAGCGCTCCACCTGTAATGGAAAGGTCCCGGGTTCGATACCCGGACCAGGCGGATTTTTTCGGTCGCTCACCAGTCACCTAGCTGTGTTTGGAGAATTGTGTTTGTCCTTTGTCCCCCTTGTTCCCCTTCTCCAGGGATTATTTTCATCATTCTTGTCCAGCTCGCTTGCACCTTTGCATTTAATTGCATTATAATTACAACCTTAACTTGCCAGCTTCACCCTTGTTGGTGTTAGACTGGTGGCAACTGATAAAACCCGTTTGCTCTACTGACGTCTAACCCCTGGTTAGCTCAGTTGGTAGAGCCCTCCACCTGCAATGGAGAGGTCCCGGGTTCGATACCCGGACCCGGCGGATTTTTTAGGTCGCTCACCAGTCACCTAGCTGTGTTTGGAGATTTGTGTTTGTCCTTTGTCCCCCTTGTTCCCCTTCTCCAGGGATTATTTTCATCATTCTTGTCCAGCTCGCTTGCACCTTTGCATTTAATTGCATTATAATTACAACCTTAACTTGCCAGCTTCACCCTTGTTGGTGTTAGACTGGTGGCAACTGATAAAACCCGTTTGCTCTACTGATGTCTAACCCCTGGTTAGCCCAGTTGGTAGAGCGCTCCACCTGTAATGGAGAGGTCCCGGGTTCGATACCCGGACCAGGCGGATTTTTTCGGTCGCTCACCAGTCACCTAACTGTGTTTGGAGATTTATGTCTGTCCTTTGTCCCCCTTGTTCCCCTTTTCCAGGGATTATTTTCATCATGAATTTGTCCGCGCTTGGTGTGCTCATGATACGCGAGCACGTAGCCAAAGAAGGTGCTTCAGCTGGTCGGGGGCTGGAGTGGCAGCAGCAACGGGGACCGGTTTCAGAGAGAGCTCGCGCATAGGTAAATACGAACACAATAAGGAATATTGATTTAAAAAAGCCAATACAAAATGTATGCTCAATCGAAACGCTTACACATATGGTTCAATGTGATAGTGCGCAGACTCCGACAACGACCACAGTGCGGTCTTTCGGTTAAAAATCACACCGAGCGAAGCGGCTTATCTAAGGGACCGGGCCACCAGTCATCAGCCGACAAGCTCGCCTAAATTCGAGGGAAAGCTCGCAGTCGGAGTGCTCTGTGGATGAGTACGCTTTGTTTAAGTTCTCGCTATTCTTCATACTGGTCTCGTCGCGTCAGGCTCTCTTTGAGGGTGGAGCCGCGGGTACTTAAAGGGGCACTGACATGTCAAAATTCGCGAGTCGTGGTCCACGCGCACTCTACGCCAGCTGGTGACGTTTGTAACTCGTAGCAAGCTTAGACGGCGAAGCACTCACGAATCCCGGGGTAAGGCTGCAGCGTCGGGTAGGCAGCCGGCTGGAGGGCGTCCCCATTCTGAATCGCTTGAGCTGCGAAGAGAGGCGGGCACCGAGACCGTTAACACCGTTGGGATAGCCCGCAAAAACGCGACGAGCACCTAAGAACTAGACGGTGCAAAAGATACACTAGACACTGACTTACGAACCATTCTGACGACTATCAAAACGAGGAGAGGCTCGCTAGTTAAGGTAAGATACAGCTAAGATGGAAAAATAAACTAAGAACAAAAATTCCACTATAAATAAAGAATATATTTCCCAAACGACGTGTTAGGGTCACACTCGAAGTGATATTTTAAAGAGTGGTACTCAATTATTACCTTGCAGTGCGGCATTGTTCTACCCTGGATATTTTCTTCTAGCGAGAGAATATAAGTGTTCACACTGTGTCTAACTAGAGTTCAAAATAGATGGTCTTGGGTGGCTGTCCAGCATTTGTATGACTTCCATCTAGTTACGATAATCATGACACGAGATGTGGGCACGGTGAGGGCGCTGCACGTCCCTAGGAGAAAAAACGCGTCACTCAGTCACTAGACAATGGAAAGATATTCTCGTTCCAATCCGGAAATATGATGCAAACATTTATTTGTCTTAAGTCAATGGTGGAAGATACGAGCACTTTAAAATGGCTCCTCCCTTCGTTAGCAAAACTTAAGAAAGCATCGCATTAGAGATGAACCTCTTATACTGAGTTCACCCTTATGGGCAACGCCGGTCGAAAACGAAACCAAAGTAAATGACTGGTCTGGCTTTAGTGGCACGAAATAAGACCACAGCCGAAATATTATGACAAAGTGAAGCCGTGTACTACACTAAGAACGATTTTAAAGACGCGACCAGCTGCTCTCTAGTTGGTGGCAAGTGGGTTAGCTTTTAGTCGAGGAGCACTGGGCAACGCGTACCGCAGAACCCCACTCACGTCGCATCGCGGCCGTACAGCTGATGACCAGTGTTGCCATCCCTCTAGCAGATAGCTTTGGTATTGCCGCAATCTCCCCAAACCAAACTTTCAGGCGTGATATTTACAAAACGGCACACAATGTCGTAAAAAAGAAAATTATACCTCGTAATTTAGAGACACCTCCTGAGCTGAAAACAGTCATAATATCAATTGGAAAATATTGGCCGAAATTACCTTTTAGGTGAGACTGCAGCATATACCTCAAATACGAGAGCTCGAGGCAGCTGTTTCGAAGCGTTCTTCCGCAGAACGAACACTCGCGCTAGAAATGCAAGTCTCAAAGCCAGGAGCGCGGGCTAGTTCGCGCTCGCCTAACTTTGGCTGCAATGTCAACCTGAATACGCCGTCAAATGGTTTGTCTACTTTCGTTAAATACTGCTCAGAATCACTACCTAACTTTAATAACCGAATAAACGTGCCTAAGTTTTTCTTCCTAAGCAATGTCAGTCGGCAAATAAATTCGAGAGATATGAGCATCGTTCAACCCCTCAACTTGGAGCCAGAACAAGCGGCCACGTGGCCCGATGTTTATCCCATGTCGCCAATGTTAATCATAGCCACGCACTGGGCTCAGAAAAGTAGAAAACGCGTGCTGAGCTCCGGGCATTGCTAGACTTCGGCTATTCTTATCACTGCAGTGGTTGGAAACGAGCCACTCCGCGAGTGTCCGCCGGGGCATCGATTGTTACGAGCCGAAGTCGACTGCTCACGCTGCTCTCGAGTCGAATCGATAACCCGAGCTCGACTGTCGTCAGACGGCTAGGTTTCGATCCGACAATTACGCCATCGAGATTTGCGAACGGAAGACTGAAAGAAATACTATGACGTCTTGAATAGGATTATTTTTACTCTCATAGGCGGAAATAAGTCAGACACTGACGGTGCTAATATCAAAGCGTGATGACTAGGCTTCTTCCACGGGCTCTAGGCACCATCGCACTTGCTGCTCTCTACTAACAACCTTGGCCGTGATGTCAGGAACAATAAGAGGACGCCACCAAAAAATCTCGCTGCCAATTGTACCAATGAGTATTTTTCGCCGACAAACCAAGGAATACGTTTGATCTGCTAAACAAAAGTAAAAAATAAAAATCATGACGCTTATTTTTTTGTTTTTTGACCTAGAACTGGGAGCCCTGCTTGCAGAAGGTTTTTGGTGAACTCGAATCCTGCCCGAATACAGTCAGTAACGGGCGCCTCACCAAACCAGGAGGAGAAAGAGGCGGCGAAGCGTTCCTCAACGTTAGCGGAAAAAGACGTTCTCAGCGTCAATCGTTCAAATTTATTGTGTAGCACGCGATTTCCAACCCCAAGACAAGCAAGCACAACGGGTCGGGGAACGTTTTTATTTTTAGGCACCATCGCGACGAAAAATCTATTTGTTTGGAAATTGAGTGAAACCTCTTTCGCGACGTTTAGAAACGTGTGCATGCCTCTAATGCCGCCTGGCTTTTTGAGGTCTCACTCAGCCTTCATTCCGTCGTAGAAACGCTGAGGCATGACGCCACTGAGATTGCCTGGACCCACGAGCTTGCTGCAGCTGAAGCAGCTTCTCCGCATCGTTCCCGGTGTGCTACCCGGAGCGAATATTTACACGGGCAGGAAACGCTAGGGTTCGGCGAAGCCGAAGCGCACTGGTGGTGGGACGTCGTCTCGAGGTCTTGGGCTTGAGACGACATCGGTCGTCTCAAGATCGTCTCAAATCTACAAACCGATGTCGTCTTGAGACGACATCGGTCGTTTCAAGAACGTCTCAAGATCGAAACGTCTCAAGACGACATCGGTCGTCTCAAGATGTCGAGATCGATCGACATTCACGTGAGGAGCCGCATTTCGCCGGTCGTTGTTTCAAGTGCACCCTCCCGAAAGCATCCTTATTATTGATCTGTCTCTATTCCGCAAGTGGTCAGAATATCTGACCACATTTTTATTTATGAGGGAGCGGATCTAGCGCCCTCTAACAACCTATGCAAAACTGAAAAAAACAAGAACAAGAAACTCACTTAGCTTGGTTTTTGCGGTCTTCGTAACTAGCGAAACGTTCTCACTAGCGCACCTATGTAAATGGATCGAGCGGATATTCGCTCCAGTGATACGCCTGCCATTAGTCAAGAACCTAAAAGCATCACAAGGCTCACCGATTAGCGGTAAACAAATGCTAGAGGGCGTAACCCTGTAGGTATTTAAGTTCACGCATGCAAAGTGTGTTACCTTCTGTGTGAAGATGACTAGGCAACTCCTGTAATATCACTCGAACGGCGTCAGGAGGACCGGAATGCACTGGAAGAAAAATGATGGCTCGATATTAGTGTACAGTTCCAAATAAGCTTCCTGCTAAAAAGTGTCTGTTTCAGAAAGGCAACAAATCCAAAATCAAACGTTTCTAACGGAATGAGAAAAAAGCAACAACACCGGTTTGACCGCGCATGTTAAAGATATGTACAATGTCGCACCATTGTAGAAAAGCACAAAATCAGCAATATTTGTCTAAACACTAAATGGCGCAATTTGACCCCTGAACGACGCAGCCCGGGCTGAAGGGGGACGTGCACTCATTGCATGCATTGATTATATCCAGTCATGCAGGACGGACGTAAATGGCTCAATCATTGAATCTGATCAAAATTTCTGCCAAGTACCGTGCGCCTTTTGCCGCGTCGCCGCATGTTTAGGGATCATCTTGTATCGATAGCGGTCAACAGTACTCAGTCGCATGCTGCTACTGAACGCTTTTCTACTCATGGCACTTTGCTTTATTTTTTGCAAGAATCCACTGCTACGAGAATGAACTTCGGCATTTGTGAGAACCGTAGCACGCGGAGAATAAATAGGAGAATTGAGCAGTTCGACCGAGGGACGACCAGTATCTCGACTAATCAGATGGATGTACCGGCGCCCCCTTACTAAAACGGCTTTCAAAAGAAAGCTCGCACAATACTAACCTCCTATTCAAACGGCTAATCGAAGATATTTGTTTTCCCGGTTGGGAGACTGATTTCCTCTTTTGGTGTAGAGAAGAGCATGTATCTGTAATGTTAAGTGGCCGTGCATAGTATTTCACCCTTACATATGTCTTTCATAGGGGGAAGTACACTGTAATTCTTATAAACAGAGGCACTCGTAGAGAGCCTTCATTAATTATCCTCGACTTTCACATTGGTATTAAATGAGTTAAAACAAATCGGTCTTTGTGAACGTTTAAATAGCGAAAGGGCAATCTGCCTCTAAGATTCGGCGGCATGGTTCGACGCCGTGTGGTCGGAGACTTAACCTGATGTCCATAACGTGCTCCACGCTGCTGTAATTACATATGCTAATTATGTCTGACCATGTCAAAACAAGCAGAGGCGCGGCTCAGGTAGGTGATTCGTTGAGCAGATTTATGACGTTTGCATCACTGTCTGAATCAATCGAGGCATTCCCGGACACATCCAAGAGTTTCTTCAAGCCGCCCTTAAAGCTGTCGATCAAGCAGCTCACACTATGGGTATTGCTTGCTCGGTTGAGAAAACCTCCCTGCTGCTCATCCACTCCCACCACTGGCACCCTCCTCAAGTCACCCTTCAGCATAACATTCGTCGACAAAAACCCTCGAAGTCCTGAGCTTTCATGTACAACCCGATGGGGTAGGCACCATTGATGTACAGCACATTCTCCGCCAGACTGCACCCATCCTTAACATAATGCGCCGTGTAGCCACGCGCACAAGGGTCCTGAAAGAATGAGACCTGCTCAAACTTCGCGACGCCCTCATTATCTCCCGCATTCACTGCTATCGAAGCTCCATACGTATCACTCACACGTACTTCGGAAGGGAAACTTGACACCATTCTTCGTAAGGAGACTAAGATCGCCCTGGGTCTCCCTATACTTTGTTTCATACTTAGCGTGCAACGCTGTCAAAGCTACTGGCGCGAGCGTGGGGCTCAATCTCGTTGATCATTTGCACGCGCTCTCGTGCAAACAAAACCATAGATGAAGCCACGCGCTCGCGCCAGTAGCTTTGACAGCGTTGCACGCTAAGTATGAAACAAATTATAGAGTAGCTTCATACACACGCGCGTTTTTGTTTGGTCGGTGATATCTCAGCCATTTTTCTGACCAATCGTTTTTTTACGCATCTTGAAGCGCGCGCAATCTCGTGTCTCTGAGCTTGAGCGCGTCGCTTTGGCTAATGCATAGACGCCATTTTACCGCCCAAGTCACGCACCGAGTGCTCGAGAGCGTCACGCGCTGGCACATTCAGAGTAACAATGGATGTCTTCACTTTCAGACAGACAGACATGTAGGCACCCTAGGTCTCCCCTTCGCCACCAGTACCAGCCGTCTGGCCCAACTAGGCGTTCTACCCACAGTCTCCGACATCAGTTACATTCATCGCGTCCATCAACGTCAACGCCTCTCACTAATTCCAACAGGTCGCTTCATCTTTCACGAGCTAGGGTACACACCCTATTCACACCGGCCTCAACCTATTCCCCTCCACAACGGGATCCTCCAACATGCCACCGTAATCCGATTCCTCGCCACATGGACAGGGAGCGGAATTCCACCTTCCGGCTTCTTTGCGCTGCATACTGCACTAAGAAGAGTGCTCGAGAACCCAAACACTCACGTTCTCATCAATGCAAACTTTCACGATAACCTTGGTGCACTCGCTTTCACCACTTCACACGGTAGTGACCATTCCAATACGCAGCCCTGCATGTCCCCAGTCGAAGCAGAACTTCTCGCCATCGCACTTGCTGCCGCCCACATCTTTTTCCCCAGCTGCACCACCCACATCTACGCGGACTCAAAGTCGGCATGTTCTCACCTAGCTCAGGGCCTCGCATTTCTCCCTGCATTTCCCCTCCTCAGCAATGTAAGAGAACCTATTCATGGACAGAGGATACCTGGTCACGTTGGCGTTGCTGGGAATGAACACGCTCATGAGCTTGCCCGCGAAACTCTCCTCTGGGACCCTGCTGACGCCCGTGACGCAGCCCCTCATCCTCATCCTCTTCTCCCCACCATAGCCGACCTACTTGCCTCCCGTTGTTGCCTCCCCTCCTTCCCATCCTCAGCTTAGTCGTCGTGAACTTATTCGACATGCCCAAACATACGCTCTTGGCACACCCACTCCACTTACTACGCCGCACCTTAGATACCTCACTTCCTCCCACTTCCTGATCTCTTCCGACAAGGATCAACTTCTTTGCGACTGCCCCTATAACCCGGCAAAATCACACCTTTAGAGCCGGGAGTAACTGGCTTTTTCAGTCAGCCTCCAGCAACAGGAACTGGCTGCCCACGTCAACAAGGCCCTCAGTGGGTGCCTGGACCGAGGCGGTTGATTTAGGGTGCCTTCATGTGCGCTTCGCATAGAGTGATGCCAACTGCCTGTTTCCCTTTCCCGCACCACCTTCCACCGCCATTTTGTTCCTCTCATTGTTTCCCCGTGCGCCGGAAAGTGGCCTTTGTATCCATCGGTCCTCCCATCCCAGGGGGAAAATGCTGATCCCCTCTCCGTGGGTTCCACAACGCTGCTCCGAACTTGTGAGATAAGGTGCTTGTTTCCGGGAGGGTTATAAGCCCCACGGATTAGCGCCGAGAACCAAAATGGCTGCTGGTTTGTCGGCGAGTGGTATTACAAAGGGTGGCATACCCCTAGCAAAACGCACATGAAGGCTCCCTAGGCTGATTCATTCCCACCATGTTTTAAATAAAGTTGACATCTATCTATCTATCGATCTGCATCCTATTCGATTCCAGCGCCCCCAGACCTGTTCTGAAGCGTTGGATTATTTGTCTTAATGTGCTGAAATAAAAGCGGTCTAAGCGAAACTGCGGGGTCATAGATGGGCGAGGGTTTATCAGTCAATTCATGACAGGCCGTAGCCTGCCTCCATACGGCGAGCCTGATGCGACAGGGTTAAGATGCTCCATCGGTTCAAGCGGCAAAGACTATATAAAAGCTCTGGGTACCGAAAGCTAAACAGGTCTGCAGCTCACCTAAGCAAACGCTGACATCAAAACAACTTAAACCTCTTCTTCCTTTCATTGTTATCTTAGACTACAAATTCCCTAATTGACTATAAAAAAAAATACCGTGTTTCACGTTTAAGGAATACGCCCAGATGGCCGGTCGCCGACTGTCAATGGGATGGCACACCCCGGGGGTGAGAGGGGAACGAAGGGAGGAACGTGACCATATCAAAGGCCCATCGCAACATCGTATTTAAATCTGAAACCAATTGGAGGTGTTACCATTATTAAATATCTGATGGAGTTTGGACGTTTAAAAGTCTCAAGGAGGCACATTTTAACTTTGTGTCTTGTATTAGCAATTGTCATGCACATGACATTGTCTAGTGCATGACATCGCCTTCAAAGAGCGATTGACTTTTAATGTAATTTCGGGGTGTATTCATAGTTTGAGCGCCGGAATATTTGTCCCGAATTTTGTACTATCACAGGCAACTTTGGCACGCATATACTTTAGAATATGTAGAATGCCAGTATCATAAAATTGGTTAGAATATATATAAATGTATATTTTTATATTTATGAAAGAGTTAAGTACCATCTGTTAGCCGATCAAAAATGGCGATTTTGCCACTTTTAGTTAATTTAAATTAAAATACGTCTCGCGCACATTATTTTTATTGTTCACTACACTCAGTGATTTTAAAGGATCGAATTGGTTTATTTTACGGGCTGTTTAAGTATGTTTCCATGCCCCACGTGTGCTCAAGAACGTGTTTTTTATGCATGTTCATTGCACTCAGAACACAAAAAAACAAGCTATATCAAACATAACACCAAATTTATAAAGAAGTATATGAGACACTATAAAATGTTAAAAAATTATTCAGTTAACGGAACTGTTTAAAAAAAATTTCCATGGCCCATGCAGACTTAACATTTGAAAAAAAAATATTAAAGGTTCTACCTGCCCCTATAAAATAGGGGATTATACCCTATCATCGTGTTCCAACGTTCAACTCAAACTTAATAAGCCAGCTATTGGGCAGGAGATCCAACTATCGGGGGCGCCTTATCGAGCTTGTTGTCTACACTAGGGTGCCTCAATGTCCTTCTGTTTAGGGTGATGCCACCCTTTGTAGAAGCCGATACCGACAGCACGCGCTCACGGGGAAAATACAAAGAAATCGACGAAAACAAAATGTCGCCATAGCACAGTCAGCGCCACAAACGCGCGCAGGGACACGCTCTTTCACGCGCTTCTGAACAAGAAAAAAAACAACAAAAGTGTGGGACAAAATGGCGAGATGCCACCACCCTAAGCAAAGCGCACATAAAGGCACCCTAGTCTACACAACCTGCTGTTTACTAACACAGCAAAACAAGGAACTTGAACCTCGCCTAGCACGGTCTGGGCACGAGCTCTTCGCTCCTAACTGTGCTTTGGTCGCACGAGGAGCGACCTTCGAATCGGCGTCTTCGATTTCTCTGATCAACAACAAACAACCAAATTCGGTTTGTTGCCCACACAGCTCAAGCATGCCGCTAGAGGCGTGACTGTTCGACCTCCTCCCCAATAACGCCGCATTCCCACTGGCGGCTCAACCGCCTCCGCAAAGCGGTTGCGACCGCAGTTGCTTCAAGATGCGATTCAAATTAAAGCGTGTTGATGACCAAAGCGAGCGGATATGCTTCGCGGTTGCAACTCGAATGCCGGTGCAGAATGCGGTCTTTGGGTTTCATAGTGGTCACGAATTAAAGCCTAATCGTCCCTTTGTTCTCAACGTTCTCCTCGAGGCCCGGACCTGGCCGGAGGTCGTCGAAGACCAGCCTGGGCGCACAGCTCAGGAGGGCGTCCTGCGAAGAACTCACGTGGGTAGTGAGGCATGCCGTTCGTGTAGACTTCTCCTGTCTGGCCATTGGCTTGAGCCACGGTGAAACTGGTGACTGTGGGTGAGGGAAGCGCTCCGTTGACCGGATGGGTGGTGGCACCTGCGAGGGACCAGGTGCTTGCTGGCCACAGATGGCACTCGCCAGAGGCGGCCCGAAAGGACACGCCCGACACAACTGATGTCACGAGGCATTTTGAGGGAGAAGCGATGCGATCGAGACAAAGGGCTACCAATCGCGAGAATAAACGCGTAACGTTCATCGGGAAAGCACACTGTAAGGTCCTTTACTTGATGCCGTGTTGTTGTTTGCATCCCCATGACCATCTCCAAAGAGCACGTGGGCACGGCCCCGTCAGGTGAACATTCGTCTCTTGTCCGCTGCTCGGCGTCAGCGTGAATACTGGCGATATGCTGACACAAAATGAAATATTTAATCCAATTTTATCGGCTATCGTTCCTATTCGTAATGCGTATAAGGGTCGAGTAAAGCCTGATTCGCATGGTGCAATTTTTATTGCGATTTCACAGCTGCGACGTTGAGCACCGTAGCTTCGACCGCATGTTTCTTGACGCACGAGCGTCGCCGTACGAGTGACGCCGCAGTTCTCAATCGCAACGTCGCTCGTGCGAACGGAAAAGAATCCAAGCTTGAGTCGGCAGAAATTGTCCCACGGACTGTTTTGTCTTAATCGGTTAGCGAATGTGGGGATCATAACCAAAATATGGCTAGGTACTATCCTGGATGTAATCACAGTTTAGAGCAGAAATTTCTCGGGGTATCCTTATTGAGATGAGAAAGCGTCCATTCAGCAATATTTCTGGAGCGATGGAACCGCCAGTGCTTGGGAGTTGACTCGCCTTTGCGAACCTACTGCGAGTGCTGGCACTGTCCCTTTCACACTGTTTAGGTCGTAAAACGCGACACAAGTGTAATAGCACATGTATGACATGGTAGCTTTGTTGGGGGCCACCAATCCTCAACCACAAACGAGAAGCAGGAAGAAAGAATATTCTGCGCGAGTGCGTCGAGAACGCCATGAAAAGCGAGCCCGATAGTGTCGCACTGTGGACCGGCCTCACGGACGTCGTTCGGTGCAGTTGAAGGCAACGGCAAGAAGACAGTCGCCGTAAGTCGGCCGCGGCCAGCGAGGCGGCCTTACCCGAGGTGGGCGTGAGGGCGGGGCTCCCGAGTCCGTTGGGCATGGCTCCGATCTGCGGTATCTGCGCTGCCGCCAGGGCTGCCATCGGGTTGATGTAGCCTCCCTGGGCAGCCGCCATCAGCGCCGCCTGCTGCTGCATGAACTGGACGCCGTGCCGCAAACATCAGTTCGGGGAGGACCAGCGCCGTCCCAGCACTGGCTCGTGCCCGGCGCCTCGCTCGGTTTCGCTCCTGGCCAGGACTTAAACTACAAGAAAATTTCGGCGCTTATTTCTTTGTATATAGACCTTTTCGCCTTCCGTCGCTTGGGCGCTGCCATCTTGGAATCACGTGATAGGGCCGCCATGAGGTGGCTCGTCGCTCCTCTCTGCCCTCAGAGCTTTGGCGAAGTCGTTGTATTCGTATTTTTCGTCGCGCCTTTTTTTGTGATATGTCGTCCGATAGTTATTTTAACTTTCTAACTGCATGGCACCATTAAGTGTGTAACTTTCGCACTTTGTTTAATCACATGTTTTGATTACTTGCACCGTCGGCGTGTCGGACACATGTGGAGAAAGGAATCAGCGTTAGCACGGGCGCATATTTAGTCTGCAGAGACACACGAGTGTGGAAAGGCCAATTATTTATGAGAGCGCAAATTTTCTTCAAGGGATACTGAACCAAAGAATTTAGTGTCCATAATAAGTGGCGCACGTTCTTTCCACGAGCCAGCAGCCGCCGGTGTGCGCGAGCACGCGCAACGAAAATGACGTCAAAGACCTCCATTCGCGCTTAAGAGGACAATGAAATCCATGGGCTTCGGGCCAATGGAGAATAAACACAGGCTTTTCATCTCTACAAGTGAAAGCTAGGTGCTTGTTAGACCAATTAATCGCTTACCTTTTACACCAGAAACCACTGTGTAGATAAAAAAACTCGTCTTTATTCTCCTTTGGCCCGAAGCCCATACATTTCACTGTCCTCTCAAGCGCGAATGGAGGTCTTTGACGTCATTTTCGTTGCGTGTGCTCGCGCACACCGGTGGCTGCTGGCTCGTGGAAAGAGCGTGCGCCATTTATTATGGACACTAAGTTCCTTGGTTCAGTATCCATTTTTAAGTGATAGTGGCTCAATATGACGTGCAAGGTATATTTACGATTACGCAGTTATGATCTTAAAGGGGTATTCACACGAGGGAGAAATCCCGGGGATTTCTCCCCGGCACGCGAGAATCACGAGATGAAAACGCGAGGCTTTTGCACATCGCAATGCCTGACGTTTTCGTCGTGGAATGCGCGTGCCGGGGAGAAATCCCCGGGATTTCTCCCTCGTGTGAATACCCCTTAAAGAAGAAGTCAAATATAGTCAACGCAAGGAGCTCCAATAAGTTTCTTGAAAGCATCGTGCTCTAGCTTCATAATAAATCCAAAACAGGTTTTGTATCATATATGCGGGGATATAAACATATAAGCGATATAAACATTCGCTTTATCCGTTTATTTATGAATTTAAAGAACTCTACGTTGTGCTAGGCCCCATGTTTACGCTAAGGATATAACGAGAGGGGAACAAATTCGACGAGCTCAGCCAAGATTGACGTTTTGAGATTTCTCTATTTCAGAAGGTCGAAACGAGAAAGTAGAAAGGAGAACGAGTGCCAATGATAACCACTCCCTGGCTACACTTCAAGGCGCACTGGCCTCGCGTACTGGCCTCGCGCACTGGCCAAGAGGTTGAAATGTACGGAGCGCCGAGTCCGTTCCAACCAGTACTGGCCGTGGGGTAAACAACGTAGTCGCCTCGCGTTTCGACGTATCGTTCTCGTATCGTTTAGAGTTTGATGACCCAAATGTGATGCGTTACGAATATTCGTACCCCGGTGCTGAAAATAAGATATTTAAGCTATCTCACCAACAAAAAATAACTCGGATCACAGTGGATGCTGAAGTTTTAGCCGGGAAAAAGGCACGCACCATCGTTGCTTTTCCAGCGAGAATTTCTAGGCAGTCAATGCCAATGGGAAATGCCTACCCTGCATTTGCAGTGAGGTCTTGACGTCTTAGGGTGCAAATATGGTTTCGCAATGCGCAAGACGAGTTTTGTGTAACTCAATGCCATTCATTTTAATAAATTCCCAATAAGATCGCACGATTGTGTTGGCGAACCGCGTCAGCTATGGCATAGTACTATAGGACCATCTTCAATTTCTTAAATCTCTTTTCATAGAGACGAATATATGATCCGTGAACGTTAATATTGCGGCAGTCATACGTAGCTGTTTTTAGTGGTGTGAACTTAAGAGTGCGCTTCATTAGATTGATACTGTGCAATGAAATATATGTATTTTTATTATTTCCATGCAAAGTCACATTTTGCGCTGTACATCCGTGTTTATAACAAAAAACTTTTTTTTTCTTTGTTTTTTAGTGCGCGATGCAACTTGCCGGGTGATCGGCCCTTGTCCGGAACAGCGACTTTTGCTCTCCCGTTTGGGACTGTGCGCGCTCGAATGAAGTACTCAACAAAATAAAAATACGAGAAGCAAGAGTGCAAGTCTGTTTAAAAGTTACGAAGGCTCGTTAATCATCAGCGCCGCTGGAAATCAGTGCGTCGGTTTGCCAATCGATTCCACGATGGTAACAGACGCGATGAGGGGGGGGGGGGGGGGGGGGGAGGGAAGCATGCAGGCTATTTTGTGCACAGAAGATGCGCATCGAAGCCTAATTCGAAAGGATCCGCCCTCGGGGAGAACCGATCGCGCTCTCCTCAACCGTGGTTGTGCTGTCGGCGCGTGCCTGCATCGGAGAGGGGCATAGTTACCGTCGCAGTGTGGTACAGGGCTCGTCCGACATGCGGAAGATACTGCGCTTGTTCCCCGGTGCTGGCTGGCAACTGCTCCTGTTGTGAGAGATCAGTGACTCCGTCAAACGCCTGAAATGACACCAAACGCCGGCCTATAGTCGAGGTCGGGCCAGCTGCACAGCGCGGCTCCAACTCTGCGCAGAAACGGGCGCCAAACAAACACTGACCACTCGCGCACATGCACCGCGTTAAGCCTTCTCTCGCGCAAAAACCTTTCAATGCGAAGCGAAAGTTCGTCTGCTCCTTTTGCGGGGGGTTCTGGTGGCGTCTGAACGCCGAGTTCTGGTTGGTTCTCATTGAAGGATAGTAGGTAGACCTCGAACAGCTTGCTTTGAGGTCTACCCACTATTCTTCAACCAGAGCCAATCAGAAGACGGTGTCGTTCTGATGTTACCGCAACACCTGAGCAAGAAGCAGACGACTTGCTTTCTGCAAACGCGGGGCCTCTCGCGTCCGAACTGAGACCGAGCCTCCGAAAGGCGAGGCCAGCAGATCGAACAGCGTGCCCGTCCTTGGGCTGTTGCCTAGTGGGTGAGTCTAACTGATTGTACTGCGCCACTGAGACACCTCGCAGGGTGGCTTGTCGGTGCGCCCTTACGCGGGCGGCGTGTGTGCACGCGGGAGCGGTAACAGAGTTCGTCTGGGTATAGTCACGGACGAGGAACGACGCAGACGTCGTCAAACGGGTCTCGGAGATGCCAATTGGGACAGCTCCGGTGATATTTTTATAGTCGAAAATTCGCGTCGAAATCATTTCACGCATTACTAGACACAGGTAAACGTTTAACCAAAAAAAAAAACAGGCCGAAATAAATAATTTTCGCGAAGTTAAATAATTATGTTTGTCTTTCTGAAGAGCTCTGCTCTTTTGCTGTATATTAGTCTGAAGAGCTCTACTGACAACAGTGAAAACGCGACGACGGGCGTTGTAATTTGTGCATAATGACTCGTTTAAGACGAGTTACAAGAAGTTTGACGGTGGACACTTACTCGAGCAGAATGGTAACAATTCGCGAAATCCACCGTTTTTTGAACCGTCTGCTCGACCCTCAAGGTTTGCATGTGACGCCACGCCACGAGAAAGCGCGGAGAGCGTTGATTTCGACATCACCTTCACTCGCCTTTTTCTCTACGGCAATTCTGAATTTAGATATGCTGAGGAGAGCCACAGTATTTGAAAAATGTAGCTAGTTCGGGTAGATCAAAGAAAACCATCGGAGTTTTAAGAAAGCAGCTGTGGATGGGCGCAGTGCCCTAACTCCGCTTCTGCCATCCACACTGTGGTCACGCGATAGTCCTCTGTAGACAACGCAGCGCTCGTGTCACCAAGGCAACGGTCGGTTTGTCTTGGCCCTTTTCAGTGGCTCGGCGTCTCAGTGGGAACAAAGATATATGGCGGCTCGAGTCTGAAGCATGCTAAACGCGCTTGCAATGTGGCTGTTTGGGCTCGAGTGAATTAAGCTGTAAAATGTGCGCATTCCCGCAATAAGGGCCCATTAAATTGTTTTCTTTGAATCTGTATTTGTATGGCTATAACTTCATCTGACTGCTGACGAGTCTAAAAAGACGAAGATTAATCGCCGCTTCTTTTCATGTGGCACAGTCCTCTAACTGGAGGCATTGCAGAAGCGGAAAAGCCACAAACTTAAGGCAAAATCTGGCGTGCGTCCTTCCCTTGGCCCCGAGAAGAGGGAAGAAGTTAAAGCGGTAGGCCGCGATCGAGGCAGCAGCGTCAGATGTTCAGGGTGCGCCCAGAAGAGCCAGCACATTTAGAACGCCTCGCAAAATTCAAATTCTAAATGCGCGTGCATACTCGAAATTGGGCACGCAAACGTCCTTTCGCTACAAGTTTATTATCCATATATTTCTTTTCAGAGCTCAACTAAGTGATGGTAAAAAATACACCACGGAGTGAAAACGGCGTTCGTGCATTTTTTATTTCGTATACGGCATGTTCGTCATCTGCGCAGTGGTTTGCGAGCTTGGCCTCATATGGGATTTCTCCGTAAATTTCGTTAAACTGGTTACTTATCGCCATTCTCCTGCTCGTCGTCAGTCTCTGCTACGGAGGTTTCGTTGTATTTGCGTTCAGTATGCGATTTGGGGGCGAGTTCGCAAATCAGTGTGTAGACGACGAACACGCTGGTATAGGACATAGAAAATGCACGGCAGCCGATTTGGTTTTATTTTTTTATACCGGGTGTCTCATTTAGTGGCCGTGCTCTTTAAATCGACCGCACAATTCGGTTTCTTAACCTATCGCGCTACGAGTTTGTGCAGCGTTGCTCACAGGAGGTGCATTTTGCCTATAAAATTTGCAAAGAGCAAACTTACCCGAGGAATAACTTAAAAAAGAAAAAGGCTTAACTCTGATAGAAACGCAGGGAAGTCACCGGTTTTCAAACAATAGGGCGCTCTATCGATTGAAGACCAGTGACTTTGCTGGGTTTCCATAGGAGTTAAGCCTTTGTCTTTCTTCACGTTTTTCTAAGGTAAGTTTGCTCTTTGTAAATTTTATTGACAAAATGCACCACCTGTGGGCAACGCTGCACAAACTCGTAGTGCGATAGGTTAGGAAACCGAATTTTGCGGTCAATATAAAGAGCCTGGCCACTATTTGAGACACCCGATACTTTACCACCCCTGCATTAAGCTCTAAAAATGAGCCATCACACTTTCTGCAAAACGATGTTCGCGTGCCCCATTTCATGGATGTACGAATGGAATTGAAATATCGTGAGGCCTGCCCAATGTGCTGGTCCTTACGGCCGCTCCATGTAGATCGCAACACCAATAGAGGCTAGCAGCTTCAACTGAGGGCCCAAAATGAAGCGAGCTGGCATCCAGTATGGCCTCTCTCGTAAGAACCTACACCGAGGAGTCTCTGTGACAGAGACTCCTCGGTTCAGAGGTTTTTTCACTGGCATTCGGATACATGCAACCGGTTGCCCTTCTCATTGGCTCAAGTAATTAAATTCGGGGCTGTTTTTTCGCAAAATCCCTCACGAATGGCGTTTCGAGTGCATCGTGGTGCCCAATGCACTGCGCTATTTCTGTGGGGTTTGCGATGTTGTCTTCCCTTCAAATTCGAAGCTGTTTTTTCTAGGCTTATTTTTGTTTTCTTTTGTTTTAACTTCGGTGCCCTTCGGAATGAATTATCCGTGTCTGACAAACACACGTGACTGCTCAAATTTATGTTAAAAAAGAAAAAAAAACTGCAGAAGAGGGTTTCTTTTTGCGAGCGTATGTTTTCGTTAATCAAATACATCTGATCTTCGGGGCTCTTCGGTTTTCTCCGATGTTGATAAAAACCCGCTTGGGGATCGTATTTCGAGGTTTTTCGGTGGTTAGGGAAAGCAGGAAAGCCTGCGTATAAGGGATACGTGACGACGGACTGCTGGGAGCTCACCTGGGCGTACGCTCCGTAGGCCCCGAACTGGTTGAAGATGAACGGGTTGAGGAGGCCCATGTTGCCTGCCATCTGCTGCATCCGCCGCAGCTGCCGCTCTTTCTCCGTGTCCGCGAACTTCACAACTAGGCTAGACGACGCCCCCTGCACACGAGACAGGAGACACACCTGGTTTACACGACGAATAACCAAACCTGCCAACAAAAGAGATCACCCCAAAGAAACACTAAGAAAAATCTGTCAGCCTTTCCACTCTGGTGAAGAAGGAAGACCAGCGAAGCTGTACAATGGTGGGAATTAAGTAGTGGCCGGCCGCAAGTCGGCAAGCCAAAGTGGAAAGGCTCGAAAGGGTGCCGCCATCTATGAACGACGGCGGCAACCAGACAACCGGCAAGTCTGGTGGCCGCCGTCGCTCATAGATGGCGGTAGCTGCCCAGAGTTATGTGTTATCAGGTCATTTGAGGACGGACACGATCCTGGGAAAACTAGCCCTTAACAGCTCCGCTGTAAAAAGTTTCCACGCGTCTGGTTCCCGGAGAGCCCTTCGAGAGCCAATGATCGCAATCGAGGGGCAAAGTTAATTTTCAAAAATGAGGTCGGCCATTGGACGCATCACATTTTTCGCTGTTACGTAGCAGGCTTACCTTGAAACCTAAGCATAGTTTGGGGATTTTCCAAGCTCCCTCAGCATTCATTATCAGCGGAAACTTCCACGTGCGAGCAGAGGGGTTTTCGAAACGTTCGCTACTCCGTAACATTCATGTTTAGGGATCGTTCTACGCCAAGAGAACGGGATCGAAAATGTTCAACTCAATAATAATACGAAGCTTTCATTTTTATTTCGTCCAAAAAGGAGGAAACCCGGGCACAAAGCTGCAGCTTGACCAGGTCCATGACACACCCCGCCCCCCAAAAAAAGTAACATTGTAAACAAAGCGACAAAAAGAAATCTTTGATAAAAGGACATACACGAGTACAGATGCTCACATTATTGCGCTAATAGATACTTGCGAAAACTGCAGGAGAAGCACGAAAACCACCATCTCATACCATTGCAGTAATAGAAACTCCCAACGCGAAAAGCAATTTTAATACACTGCACTACACACTGCCGGCAAAACGTGGAAGATTAGATAGTCTGTACTGCAATGTTAGTTAACGTCTTATTTGATTTCCCAAAGATGTTCAGGGATATTCTTCAGGTTCAATAAATAACGACGGCAAGGCGTACTGCAACGATTCAAAACCATAATTAGTACAAGGCTTCAATCTCCACCAGCGTGGAGTATAGAGATCGATACTATTTAAAACGTGATTTAAATGAGGATTTAAATCGTGAATGAAATCGGACCAGTTTTACTATGGTGATTGAAATCAAACCTTTCCCGCCTACGGATCAAGAAAACATACTTTTATGTACCACTTGTTTATCATTTTGATACTTTCTATGCGCATTTAGTTTAGATTTAATTAAAAAAGAAATGAAATAATGATCGAGTAAGAAAGAGTTATATAAGGTTAAAAACAAGAAAAATGTGCTCTTTCGAGCGCATCGGAGCGTTCAGCCTGATTCCTACCATTTACTTCGTTCGTCGGTTACGTAAAGTTCTGTTGCAACAAAATCAGGACGCGAAAAGGAATAAACGGAAAGCAGTAATGTCCTATTCCAATCATGTAAGAAGCAAAAATATATATATATATAAAATGAAAAAAGTTATTAAGCTAACATAACAATTAAGCTGATTTGGTTCTAGTATTGCGTGGATTACAGCAATACAAGATGTTAATTAAACTGTGCTTTACATTCAGAACACTTCTTTCTTCTTCACTGCTATCAGTAATCGGGCAAAATGAATAATCAATACGCCATGTTGAAAATCATATCTAGTGGTAGAGAATCGCTCTTTTCGACCTACGGTAATTTAAATAAAATTAATCTGATTCAAATCAAAGAAAGTTAATTATTGATGTAAAAGAAAAGGCTATTTATGCAAATGTTTTTTTTTTTAATTTTAGGAACAGTTACAATCAAATGAAACTAATTCTAATCACTGAAGAAGTTAATAACTTAATTTTTGTACTGCATTAACAGAATTAACCGAAAAAAAAATCAGTGCTGCCCTTAATTTATACCTTAGCCATCACCATCCCATCTGAAGCTAACTGGGCAGCCTGTCGCGCATGTGTATAGAAGTCACACTTGAGTCGAACCTCGCGCCCTTGTCACCTTTCTTGCTCATCGATTCAAGGACATCTGCTACAACAAGAAAGGAAACGAGAATGTAGAGTTCCTACTAAATACAATGCTTCGGGATGTACCAGACTCAACACAGCTCACGTCAAAACGAAGTTGTTCCCAACAGCAATCTCAAACCAGTGAGCAGTCTTTAGTATGGAAGGTACTGAACTACTTGGCATTGTCAAGGAAGGATGATGTACCGTGTTCCCCAATGCAACATGTCTACGACTACCTCTGTAAACTGTAAGCAAACTGTAAGCAAAGAAAAGCCCAAGACCCTCGAATGCGCGGGGCGACGATACCTGGCGATTCCCACAACCCAGGTTGCAAGCGAGAGACTGTTCTCAACGTGTTCAAACACTATGACAAGCTGACGGGAGTTTTTTTGCTGCAGAACATTTGGAAATACTTGTTTTTTTTTACATGGGTACTATATGTACCTCCAAGGTGACATTACAAACCTCCTCATTTTCTGATCTGCGAAAAGATGTCTAGTGTACTGTTTCATCTCACTCACGTGTGGATCGTGAAAAGGAGTCTGATAAGGCGTAAGATCCCTTTTTTAAGTTCCGCGTGAACTGTGATATTATGTTCACCATTCGCGTGCACCGTGACATTGTGTTCAGCATTCCAACATTTTAGTAGCTTCTGTCTCTAATTATATATCGTTGAACCCTAGTCTTTATTGCCAAGTCTTGCGTTTCTACAATGACTTTAAGAATCATTTTAGAACAATAAAATAATTGTATAATATGTACTCTTCTTTAGCTGCTTCTTTAGTAGTTTCTTTAGTAGCTTTAGTAGCATGTTCGATTCGTATTCGCATTCGATTCTGTGCCACAATTATTCGATTCGTATTCGATTCGGTTTCAAAAATCACTATTCGCGCACCTCTAAACAACGGTGACGATATTAACCTTTACGCAGTGATTGATTGCCCTGACCTAACTTCAGCGATAAATATTTATGTTCCGAGAAGATTTTTGCAAATTTCTCTTCCATTTTTTGTCGATCAATTCTTCCAAGCCTACCCAATGACACGCATTCAGACCTTGTATAATACTTTCGATGCTTCCTGCATTGACGCTTTTAACCCATCTTTTGCAGCGTTCAAGTTTTCTCTTACAAATCTATAAATGTTAGCCCATTTTTTCGTAGCGTTCAAGCTTCCTTTTGTCAATCTGTAGAATTTTTCTTCCTTTTCCTGTATTTTAATTGTGCATCATTACAAAGGCGAAAGCTGTTCATGAGCACAAAAAAATAAACAAATAAATGAATGAGTGAATGAACGTATCACGACAGGTACACGTGACGTTGAAGTGGCTCTCACCTAGACTTTTGGTTTAATACACGATGAGTAAGGTTAAAAGTACTTTCAGGTTGCCAATTCGTCCCAAACTGGCAACCACTCCAAGTCACTATTTATCACCTTATAACGTCATCGAATCCGGTTTACACTTTCAAAGAAGTAGTCACGAACGGTGCGAGCGCCCACGTCCGCATGACGGACCGCCGTCCTACTTTTGCATATACTACGGAGTCCCAAGAGCATGCTTGTTTGGTATGTGGCAATGGTAAACTGTCAACCGTTAAAAACCGGATGCCCTATGGTGATAACGGGAGTTCCTTTTTGATGGTTCGCTAAAGCACGTCTCAATAAAAAAAACGTATCCCAGCAATTAAAAGAGAAAAGAAAAACGACACGTGTTCAATATTTTTAGTTGTTTGCATAACGTACAGTTACCCGTCCAGGAAATGTTCATTCCTCTTTTCTCTAAAAATATCTTTATTGGCAGGGCTTCACTGTGCAATTTAAGAAAGAATGTTATAATCCCAGGCCGAACCAACGTTTTTTTGAACACATTTTAATACGTCTTGTCCTAAGACTTCGGTATATAGACCGGAATTTGGGTGTAGGCATCAGAACATCCAAGAGATCCTGCGTCGACCTTTTGCGCGATGCGGATGACAGATATTTGAAGGAAAAATGTACAAAAAGAAAGCGACATGCAGATACTACTATCTCAGAAAATTCGACAATGGTCCATTGCGCACAGGGCAAGTCGACGCTACACAACCCGGTAGCACATCAAATAGCCTGGTTTGTATCACCATTCGAAGAAGAGGGTTCGATTGATTGCGTATAAGCATGAAAGGAGAAACAATTTGACGAGCAAATAAATGACAGAGTCCGACGCGGCCTGTTTTGGGCGGAAGAAAAAGATTCGTTTATCTCGTTCGTTCCCGTAGAGACGCCCAGATAAACACTGCGCAAATGCGGTTGATACGTTGAATATTGACACGCGAACAATGTAGGACTGGGTAGCTAAACTCGTCAAACACAAAGTTGGGGCCGAAGTTCACAGAGCGTGCTGTTTGGACTGTCGCGACGATGGCGTCATGCAGACGTGAATCATCCAAACACTTTTGGTGCTCGGATTCCAGCGAGATCGGGGGATTGATGGCCGAGTGGGCTAGCGCACACCACACCCTAAAAAAAAAAAAAAAAAAGCCCATGCGTCTACTTTCGCGTAAAACGCTCAGAAAGTCAATCACCGCAACTTACGGAAGCAGCCCAGTGAATGATGATGCCGAAACATATGTTTAGACAAAAAACCGCAGTCTGAGCTGTGACATTAAGCAACGCAAAATGCCATGCTTGGATTGCTTAATTTCACGACTCAGACAGCGTTTTTTAGTCTAAACAGATGTTTCGGCAATTGGCTTTCGGAGTGTTGTGCGGGAAAGTAGACGCTCGGGCTCTTTCTAGAGTCCAGCTCGGAGCACATGGAGCAGAAACTCGCGATGCAGAACCCAGGATCCTTGGTTAAATCCCCACCCCTGCCAGCACCTGCTAGACAGCTCTAAAGCCTGTGCAGTACGTCACAGGACGTCTCGTCCGAGA